CAATGTTGTCAACTAATATCCGGATTAATTTTATTTTCCTCAATTCTCCGGAGAAATTTTCATAAAAATTTGAAAAACCCGGAATTCCGGGAAAATCCGGAGGACTTTCATCTCTGTTACTGGTAAGGATGAGCGTTAAATTAATCCACTAAAAATTGGACTGGATGGTGCGAGTGTCAAGAGGACAGTGATGCTGACACTGAAGGAGACGTCAAAACGATGATAAGGACTCAAGTACTATCTTCTAACCAGAAAGAAATATAAGAAATTCCACCACAAATAACACAGACCAAACGTCACACACTGTTTATTACTTACATTTAATATACAGATACGCAATATCAATAAAACTTGATCGGGACTAGTTTTGCAAATAGAATCCCGGTTACCAATGGCTAATTGAGACATATGCGCGTTTAGGATGTTCCGACTACGTTACGGATTATTACGGATTCGTAACGACAAGCCGGGGTGTCTTAAAAACAACCGAGGTCCGCTAGTTAGCATTAGCTGGTTTAGCATTTCAAAAAACAAGCGAACAATGCTTACGCCACTCGTCTTCGTGTTCCTGGTTCTTACGCAGAACGGGAAGGCGGCAGCCCTCGACAATTTCAACCTGTCGGGGGAAATTGGTTCATTTGATACCTTGAGAGTGAGCAACGACTGAAAAAGAAGAATACATCGCTCGGAGACTCACCGATGATCCGCTGTCGGCCATTTTCGTCATCCTTGCGAGCCGGAGCGGGGTGTTGTGGGAAAATGACGCCAACGTCAAAGGTCAATAAACCGATCAAGAAATACTTGACATGGGATGCGATAGGCGGAAGTCGCTAAACGAAACAGGAAGTGACATGCGGGGTTATAAAAAATACAGTATACGTAAGTTGATGTGAACCAATTATTTTTTAATCTTGGGTAATGTTTTTCCGAAACCCTTTACTTCAAGTGATTAAAAAAATTCATTAACTCATCAGGGTAAAATGTAAAAAGTATTACAATATTACGTTTTGGTCTGTTCATTTTTTTGTCAGTTAATATCAGGTATGTGACAAATTTTCCGGTCTCTTTACATGTGCTCAGCTGAGGGCTAAAAAGTTGAAAACAATTCACTGTTTACAAGCAATGGCAAAGGTTATAAATGATGTTTATTATTAGAACAACTTTTAGGATATAATGCTTTTCAAATGAAAACAAAAACAAACATTGAATGATACACAAATAATATCTGACAAAAATCGGTCGTCAAGACATTTGTACGTATGGTAACCTGTAGACAAATACATCACACATGACCGGTGACCTTTCACATCTGTCAGAGCTAATAGTAACATGATAACTCAAAGTGTGTCAAGAGACAAACTGTCTGACTTGAACATGCATTAGTATGCTGCGTTCCTTCAGCTTTCAGAGTCTCTTAACAACTACTGCTGATACAAATCTACAGAATGACAATTTTTAATGTTTTGACAGGTCAATGATTTTTAGGAGGCAGTTTGGATTTTTAAAGACTGTAGAAATGTGTCAGTGAAGGCTTATCCTAAGCATTTTCTGAGGTTAGGAAACAATTGAGACAGCATCATGTTTTTAAAAGAGCATCCAGATGAATGTAAATAATTTGAAAGAGAGAAGGAAAATTCTTTTTTCATTTTTGTTTTGTCTTCAGGCCCACACTGGCCAAGATAACGACACGACTTCACCACTTTTACTGCCTTGCTACTTGTGTTGATTCACCCCTCCCCGTCGCCATCCTTTGCCCCGTAAACTGTTTTTCTACATCCCGCAGTGTCAGCAACCAGCTTTGGGTTTTGATCTAATTTAAGGATGGTGAAAACACTTACTGTATCTGTTGCGTTGGCAGTAAAAATGACGATGCGATATTTCCTTTTCAGACACAATTTCCTGCACTTGAGAGGCAATTATCTTGACGCAATCTGGCAATCAAAGGCAGTACCCTCCCTGTGGCATTTAAAGTAGCATCGGCGTTATATTGGAGTTGCATTATTTTTGCTTTCACCCCTCTAAAGCTTCCTCTAACATGCACATTCAAAATACCTTTTTACTGAGCGGTCACAACACAAAACAAAATGCATTTTTCCTTGATGAGGTGTGTCATTTCGAGTGACACTTGAGTTACTATTGCACGCAATGCTATTGGCAACAAATTAAAGTGCTTCAATCAGGTTTCCGTGACAAAACGTACACGAGATGACAGTTGGGTGAGGACGCTGGACAATGAAACGTCACGATGTTTTCTATTGCTATTAATAACACGACTCGGGCCCCTGCTACGGTGTTCTTTTGAACCAAAGTTCCAGAAAGCGAGTTACGGTTCTTTTCCTACCTCTTAAAAGTACACTTGTCACCTGAAAATCAAACGCATTCATGTCATTACAATTCTGATGGTATCATAAACAATACTGCAATAGTTATTTTCACATACAGTATCCGTGCCTTCGTTCATCGATTGTATTTCACGGAAATCTAACAGAGTGAATTTTTTTCACCCGTTAGCTTCTCATTCAAAGAAGCAATACATGTTGGTTTTTTCTTAGGTTGTACCAGCTGCATGAACATGATAAGAGGCATACATTTAGAAGGGGGGGGGGCATCGACAAACTACGGCATTTCAGGTCGTCGGTTGAACAGAAAACATTCCGCCGTCCTTTGCACGGTATCACTCGTCAAACGTGAAGCTATTAAAAAAAAAGACAAATATCATACAAATAAATAAGGTTCCAAAACATAGACTGAAAAGTGCATTGTACTTGTTTTTTTTTTCTTTCACAGCATAACATATCCACTGTACAATCGTTGATTATATGCCTACGTTATTTTTATACATTATAATTAGGATTACTAAGTAGCATCGATTGAATAAGAAATATTTCATAGCAAGTCTACAGGAAAATAGTTGCATTGCCCTGAAACAAGGATGCGTGCGTGCGTGCGTGCGTCTGTGTGTGCGTGTGTCTGCGTGTGCGTGTGTGTGTGTGTGTGTGTGTGTGTGTGTGTGTGTGTGTGTGTGTGTTGAAAGCGAGACAGACAGACCAGCATGTATGGCGATACGAGTCGTGTGAGCGCAAACATCCAGCACGGAAGCAGACAAAGCTTGTTTCGTTCTCGTTCGGAGGCACACGATCAGCCCAGCCGGCATTTCAAGTATCGAGCATTGTTTTGGAAAACGCGCGTCAGTCAGACATCAGCAATGCCGAGTGATGGAGAGAAGAAAAGATAATTCCATCACAGCTCACGGGCCTCTCGTCCTGTGTGTAGATACCAGAAGCGTCAGTCCAAGGCAGTCAGTGGAGTGGGGGCAGGCCGACGAATCATACAAGTACTTGGACGAATTGCTTCAGAAGAGTAACAGCGATTAGACAAGCATCTCTCTTTTTTTTCCCTCCCCCATCCCCACCTCAGCTCCTGCACTTTTCTTAAGTGCAGGCAGTTCATTTAGGATAGCCTTCTGCATCAGGCTGGAAGCAGCAGTCATGCCTGTTTTTCCTCCAAGGTTGTCTGCCCCCGCCCCTACAAACAAAGAGTTATTGTCCCGTCTGCAAATGAGTAAGACACACTAATGACATCTTTACATGTCCATTGTCCTGATTCATTCGATCATTCGTGTTCACGGTGCGCCATAAGGCCCGCCAAGAGGATCGGTCGCGGGGGGAGTCATTCTGTGGCAGTTGGTATGGTCGAGATTGCGTCCCCACAAAGGACACGCAGGATTCAAGGAAAGTGGGAAGCCGATAAAAGGTCTGGCACTTGAACTTTCTCCTTTCCCCGGTCACAACCGGAATGTATTCTTCTCAAAATATGGGCCAGCGTTTCAATTCAAACACCAATCACTGGATTTCCTGAGAGTGGAAGTTTACTCTCTCGCCATTGGGAAGCAAAAAGTACTTAATGGGCCACTCTCCTTGGAAACAAGCATACAAGTGCATTCCGGATCCTTAGTTCAATTAAACATGCTTTCTGTAGCTTTCGTCACGGATCATACGCATAGTGAAAGATGAGCAGTCCTTGCGGACTGTGATGACGACTGTAGAAGGAATCCAAGCAGCCCGGAGGGGGAGCAACTTATGAGGGGAAGCGACGCAGGAAACGTTCATGAATATCAAGCAGTTTCAAGGGTCAAGTTGAACCGAGGAGTTGATCTCCTTCAACGCTCAGACTTGACTTTGTAGCGCAGGACAAAGTAAGTGGCCAGTCTGAGAACGAAGAAGAAAACCCCCAACACCATGAAGTCTACGTAGAGCTTCGCATCCTCCACGTCAAGAAGCTGCAGGACCTCCTCCGGCTTTTGGAATTTACACACGAGGCCCGGACATTCGAGCTCAGTGCGGTTCATCCCGTAGATGGAGAGGATCACTCCCTCGAAGCCATACCTGGGAGCGGCAAAAAGGAATGAGCATACAGGTGAGTCTTGAACGCTCAACGATTGGGACGTCATCAAATTGTGAAGAAATCAGAGCAGACCTGACGTAGGATACGTAGGAGCTCCATTGCAGGTATTTGGGAATGGTGTCAAAATTGACAAAGAAGCCAGAGAACAGGAGCACAGGGATGGCTGTCACCGGACCGACGAATGTTGCTACCTGTGGGAAAAAAAAAAAAACCGTGAAAAAATAAAAAATCACAGGGTCTACAACCTGTGGCTCTCGGGCCACATGTGGGTCTTTCATCCGTTTGCTGGGGCTCTCTGTAACTTTAGAAAATAAATAACTAGTACTTCATTTTTTCAAACACTTTGTCCATTTTTTAAAAATGCAATCCGAAATGTAAAGATTATGGTACAATTTTTTTTTTTTTGTCACTGAAAATATGCGTTGGGCACTTGTTACTCATTTTTATTGAGCTACTTCACCCTTGGAAGGCAAACCATAGCCAAATCCCCCCAAAATTAAAAATCCTGAAGAAAACGGAATGTTTAATTCTACACTTAACATGAATTGCAAGGGGAAAAAAACTTCATCTCGAATTTTAAGCGGGAAGTGAAAATGCGACGGCCACAACCGACACTGTTCACTAAGGTTCAGGACCAAAACAACAACAAAATATTCACACCAGCCAAGTAAAATAAATATTCTAATTGTCTTTTGGTTTGCTACAGTAGACCGTCTTTTTTATATTGTTCATTGAAACAGTCCTTTTTCATTCAAGTTGCCAGCGGTCCACATTCTCCACACGCGACAAAATGCAGAAGACGACGAGATTCACGGTTCGCCGCAGCCGCGTCGCTGAAGGTTTGAATTTCATTTCGTGAATACCAGGAAGGACTCAAAAAGACGCCTCCACTTGTCATCCTCCACTTTTGCGGCTTCCGAAAAGCAGACGTGGGGCGCCTTACCTGCAGAGACGTGGACGCCGCGCCAATAAGCAGCCCCAGCGACTGTGCTACCAGAGCTGTAGACGTGGACAAGGCCACGAAAAGCAGGTAGCGCCCAGCTTCCGGAGGCTGTTCCGTCATCCAGTACACGATACTGCAGTACATGATTGGACAAATCACCTGTGAGGGGAGATAACGGGTTGTTATTCTTGTGGTCGTATCCCCGTGGGGTACCGATGCATTTCTTCTGAGGTCTGACACTGTCATGGCGAGACCAACTGGAAGTGAACTCATTCACTACCACTGAGTGTGCAATGCAGCGTTACCTGGAATGGTACGTCCGCCATTGTTTTTGCCAAATAGTAGGCCTTTAGGCTGTACCAGTAGTTGAGGTGTTCCCTTATAAAGACGGACATCTCCAGAGGAACTGTGGGAGCAAAACATCGCCGAGTGACTTTACGGCTCCGACCGGGGAGTCGCTATTTCCGGGCCGCGGGCGAGATATCTTACAGGTTAGAACGGTGGGCATGAGGGCGGCAAACATGAGAAAGAGCATGGAGAAGAAGAGAAAACCCGTGTTGTTGAAGACTTTACTGGCGTCGTTTCCAATTTTCAGATAGAGCAGACCGATCAGCACTCCGATGCACAGATGGGACATCACTCGGAGGTGAGTCAGCACCTATGAAACCATCACGAGCGCTTTTTAGTTGAAAATACTTGACCCTCTTTGCCTATTGTGTCGCCGTTTGACGACAACGAACGAAGCTCACGTTCATTTGACACACCGTGCGTTACTCAAAAGGAAGTTTTACCGTGTCCCTGCAGATTGTGATGAAGGTTCTTTTGAAGAGGATGCAGAACTGGGTGAAAGTACTGGTGGCAAAGCTGTGTTTCTCGAGGGTCCCCGTGTCCTGGGAAGAGAGGAAACGTACCAAAGACAATCAATTTCCCGACGGTTTGCAAATACACATTTGAACCCTTTCATGCACCCCTGTAACCTGACAACACGGTAAGCCGTCCTCTGTCGTGACCGCTGTCCCCGAGTGGGTTCAAGATAATTATAAAGAAAACAGTGCTGGTGTTTTCAATTAGCAGTATTGGCTAATTGTGTTTCAAAACACCCACTTGTCAAAGTGCGGCGTACATCTAAACGGGCATTCAGGAGCTCTCGGTGCATATTTTATGTTAATTTGTCAAAATCATCGGCTATTGTATGCTGCAATCCGATTAAAATGCAATTTGCAGTCTCGCTTCTTGTCGGACGTGAACAAAAGCAAAACAAAATGAGTTCTCCTTTTGTTCTGTGGTTGGAATCCTCCATTTCTATCATCCTGTACTTGACCCGTCAATTCCGTTGTGCGGTGTAAATGTCCAAATCCCTCACGCTGTGGCACTGAGAGGGACAGGACGAGTCACTCTTGTCTCTCGAGTTCTTCTTGCCCTCCTCGGAGCAGAGTCCACCCTGGACCGCCTCAAAGAGCACCGGGTTCAAGTCGCCATACTCTCCCGATGCCACCTCGATGACTGGAGGGAGAGAAGACCAACGAGCACCTTCATTGAAAGCCCGAAAGACGCTTTCACATCAAGCGGTACGCGAGGAGACTTGACCACTCACTGAAATCTGCAGGATTGTGATACGTCGGGCAGTGGAGGCCCAGGTTCTTCAGATAAGGGATGAGGTAAGGGACCGTGCCCTTGTAGATGCACTGACCTTGACTGAGGATGTACAACTAGAAGACACAACAGCGGTTTTTACACTTGGGGAACTGATCTACATTCAAAGGCGTTCACTCCATTGTTTTAACTGCATCAAAAATGAGACGTAGAACCACAGCAGAGGCCGCTAATAATTAGATGTAAAGAATTTCATTTTTTAAAATTACTTTATTTACCGTATTGGCCCGAATATAAGACGGTGTTTTTTTGCATTGAAATAAGACGTCTTATATTCGGGGTCTAGACATTATGCCCATTCACGACGCTAGATGGCGCCAGATATCATTCACGTGAATGCTGAACTTGACGCCCCAGGCCAAAGTGAACCCCTGCCACGAAGAATAAAAATAAAAATAGCGGTAGCACGAAGAAGAAAAATAAAGAATAGCGGTAAAAAGGAAAAGAAGAAAATAATAGAAAAGATAACAGAAAATGGAGAAACGTAGTGACAATCTGGAGAAAAGTGGGTCGAAGATCGGTCAGGTTAACCTGCAGCTGAGGAGAAATTATGATGTAATTTACATTTCAAAAACCAGAAGCCATTCATTTACGAATGTGATTGCACTTTAGTTTACATATTTAAATGTTCAGATATTAAGATTTGAACGAGGCAAAATAACATGCTTTTTCCCTCAAATATATTCTTATCATCATTTGTTTCAGATGTACCGTAATTATTTTCTGTATAAAAATTAATTTGGTGTTCAAAAAGTCTTTTTTCAAACTTGAGTCTTGAAAAAGAGGGGGCCGTCTTATAATCAGGGCCGTCTTATACTCGGGCCAATGCGGTATTTTTGAACAGGTAAAACAAAAAGCCTGAGCGACAACTGCCCTGCTCTCGTTGTCAGATAGCATGACTCAGGCTTATCTCCGCGGCGGCTAATAGAAAAGAAAGCAGCGCAGGCACTCGGGTTACCTTATCAAACATCTCAAAGAGCTTGGCACTCGGCTGATGAATGGTGCAGATGATCGTTCGTCCCCCCTGAGCCAGCGACTTCATGAGGGAGACCACCTGGAAGCACGACGCGCTGTCCAGACCGCTACATGCGACACACAAACAAAAAAAAAAAGGTGGTACGCTCGAATGAAGAATCGCGTGGAGACGACGCAGACGAGAAGGAAAGGTGAGGTTGTAACCTGGTGGGCTCGTCAAAGAACATGACGGGAGGGTTGTTGACGAGCTCGAGGGCGATGGCCAGTCTTTTGCACTGACCCCCCGAAAGAGAGTTGGTCCGCGTTTGAGCACAGTCCAAAAGCCCCAAAGCTGTCAGAATCTCATGCACCTGAAAACAGAAGCGACGTCCTCATCACTGCGCACCTCTTCGATCACATAACACCCAACTCAACCGTCAAACGGGAATTCGATTCACTCAGACTCACCAGTTCCTTTTTGACCTGCATGCTCTCATTGAGTTTCAGATTAGCCGAGACCTAAAAGAAAGAGAAAACAGCAATCGGGGGACATCTGGCGCTTTAGACGCCGAACAAAAAAAAAGAAAAACTCGCAGATGCGGACTCACCATCATGGCCTCCCTGGTGGTCAGATGCGGCAGCAGCATGTCGTCCTGCATGATGTAGCAGGACATCTTCCGGAAGGTCCGCAAGTCCCTCGGGCGACCATTGACCAGGATTTGACCCTTCATGCCCGTCTCCCTGCACCCAAACGCAAACTGTGAGCACCGGTGCAAATGTCACTCTTGCTAAACAATCTCCTCACCTGTATCCCGCCAAAATATTCATCAGGGTGGACTTCCCGGCTCCGGAGGGTCCCATGATGCCAATCAGCTCTCTGCTGTTAAATCTTCCGGACAGACACTTGAGGAGAGCTTTGTAACCTGAGGAAGAGAGAAAACAATTAATTAGTATTGCTGCGTGATTTTCACAAACTTGAATCATGACATAAAGGGCAGAAGCGTCATAAATGACTCCAAAACGTTAGAATTAAAAACCGCCATAAACGTTGACGTGAAGCAATAAAATGGGAAAGTTCGAGGTTTCCTCGATCCCTGTCGTGAAGGAAAACGTTTCCTCCTTTTTCTATGTGCTGCATACTGATGATCCAGACTTCTGCTGTCGCTCGCGCATGATAATGGTTTTATCTGTGTGACACTGCCGGGGACATCTTGATCACCGTGTCTCACTCCGGCTAGATGGCGGCGAGCGCAGCTCGATGTCCGAGACCTTCATGTGGGGACTGGGGAGCCAATAAAACACCCGCGCTGACTTTAAAAATAATTATTTTAAAAGTTGACTTCAACAAATGACGGAGACCCAAGTATTAATCATGCTTATATGATCCAAAAAAAAAAAAAAAAATCATTCAAAGTCAAATACACGAGCACACAATCCCGATATGCCTATGGGAGTTTTTAATCGCAAAATTCCCTTGCACTCATTTATATCGTGTGGTGTCCCCCTCTCAAATCATGAGTAAATGATAATTGACAGAAAAAGAACACGTGACTGATTTGTTAAATCAGCGCCGCAAAATAAAGCCTGATTTCAGTTGTCCTTCCAGGAGCGCGACGCTCTGCCTGACTCACGAGGCAATCAGTAGATAACATTGACATTCCGTGCCGCTATTCCCTCCGGGGCGAGGGCAATGCTAATTCTTATCAGATATTTTTCTCAGCAAATTGATTGGCAGGTACACAACGTGAATTTTGCGGCATTAATCAAGCTAGCAGCTTTTTCATACCTCCCCCAAAAAATATTTCAGGATTCTCGTATTGTCCGACCTCTTCCACAAGTCAATGAGTGTGACCTCCCCCAAGGGCCGAAGGTCATTCTTGACACGGAATCGGGTTGTATCAACAAAAAAAAAAAAAACAAATGACAAATGACTCTCGCCGCCGAACGCGGCGCTAATGGCAGCCCGGCAGCTCGCACGTCACTTCAACTCTTTAACTGCCCCGCCGATAAAGGAGAGAACGCGGCATTAATCCACCGGACAGGATGATGCTTTGCGCGTACGGCCCATTGGCCACAGTCATCTCTCGGAATAACTCATAAAGCGGCGTCGGCGAGCTCAAGACTTCTGCTCGTCGCGTCTCTTTTGTCCTCCTGTGTACCAACTGGAGGTCGGCGTTTGGGTTCAGCGGTCATTTACTGATAGAATTTGACGAACCGCAGACTGGGAGCCTAAAACGACACTATTGACTTCTGCTGTGTACTTCCTGTCTGATCCGCTCTGTTCCGTTTTACCAAGACCACTCCCTAATAAATACTCTACATGGGACAACACAATTATTATTACAGTCAGGGCCTGCAAAGGAATAATGCCCGGCCCCCTATTAAGTGCACGCGGAACGCACCCGCCTTATCAAAACGACGTAAGAGGTAAACACCAAGATCAGAGAGGGTAGATTTGTCGGTAAGTCACGATGACCTCGCGTCGGACATCCTTTCATCATTGTGAAGGGCGCCGCGTTTCAATGCCGTCCATATTTCACGGCCAGATCAATCACGTCTGACTCACGGACAACACAAGGAAAAACGAGACGCAAACAGCGCGACGACGAGCTGCGAGCGTCAATTATTGACTATGAGCTCTCGTGCTGCGTGTGCGCGAGAGACAAAGGAGAGTTGCGCACACTGCGAGGCAAGAAATAGCGAAAAAGAACATCTTTTTTCTTCCGAGCGTGATCGTGAAGCCGGCCGGTGATCAACATGCGTCACTTTGGCTGCACTGTACCTCTCCTCCTCCACCAGGGACCCTCACGGATGGTGTAAGACAACTCATTAAACTCCAAGTCCACGGCGGAGCGACGTGGGAGGTGGGTGAATCGCTGGGCCTCAGTGATGTGATTTTCCACTTTCTTCAGGTGGGTGAGCAGGGGCGCTTCCGGAGGTGCCCCGCTGTGAAGTTTGGTCTCCTCCATGGGGATGCTGACGGAGACCCCGTCCGTCACTTCAGCCATGCTGAAAAAAAAAAAAAAAAAAAAAGGCGCACGGATAATTTAGCTTGCGCGTTTTAATCGACGCCGTCTTTGAGGTTATGACTTGAAATACGAGTTTGTCATTGTGACTGCGGTGTGCAGATGTTAAAGTATGATGCCGCACCTTCAAAAAAAAAGTCTAACCTTGGGTGATGCTGTACCCTTGACAGTTGACTTTTACAGCTTCAGAGCTATATTTTTGACCCTGGAAAAGGTTGCAGTGGAGTAGACTGGTGCTGTCAATTCATAAGGCGCGTTAGGTCGGAGCTGAAAGACCTTGAGGGACCAAAAAAAAAAAAAAGTCCCTCTCCACTGCTCTATTGCTGACAGCACAAACTGAAAAATGTTTCCAGAAAATTCATTCTTATGCATCTTACATAAGATAAAAGTATAACAGACACGTTACAGAATCTTGCGGCGCACTTCTACTCCCCTGCAAAGTACAATAACAAACCAAAACGGAATTGATACCAAAAGGAATATATTTAAAAAAAAAAAACGGGCCTGGTTATATTTATGACAGTTTTTCATGTTCTTGCATTGGAGCTCATTTGATTTTTTTCAAGTGGACCGAAATCATTTGGGACATCTATTAAATGAACCCGAGGGGTCAGTTGGAAAATAGAAGGCGAGGATCAATTGATTCCCATCTGATTCCGTCGAGGGAATGATTAGCCGATGAGCCTCACCCACCGCCGTCGGGTAAAAATGAGTCACCTTGTCAAAAACGGCGCTGGGCATGAGGCGATGACCGGTAACTGCGTTAACTGGCTGCTTGAAGGCGTTAAGATCGCGACGGTTAAAAGCTGACGTTCGCTTTCAGTCCCGCTAATTTAAATGGCCATCTGTGATATCTTTACCATACTTGCGCTGGATTTGAACTCAAAACATTCTGCTGTTTGATATCGTTGGAGTCTTTCCAGTGTCATCCTCAATTAACTCTATGTAGTTCAAGAATCTTTTTTTTTTTTTTTTTTTAAGTTGGCTGAGAATGCTTTGCTTTCAGATACAAACGTCTCAGTGACACTATTTGAGGATCGTATCCCACTGCAGAATACTTTTCATTTAATTCTATTTGATTCTACCATTGGCCCTGAGAGTCGTTACTTATTTCCCACTGGTTGACGTAGCGGAAATCGCACGGCTCTACTCTCGAAAGGAAGGCGTGCAAGCATCCTTGTCGGGGTGTCATGCCAGTGCACCTTTAAAAGTACGAGAAGAAAGGTGTGGTGCTCATAAGGCTTCCTGAAGGCCGCGGCATTGACCAAACCTGCACAAACGTGCACTGCAGCCAATCCTGTCTCGCGCCAGGCGTAGTAAAACATGCTCACATGAAGAACCTTGACCATGGCTCTTTTATTGATCACCATGCCATTAGTGAATTTCCATTACCAGGCTGCGTATAGGCCCTGTAAAACTGACTTTAATGGCTTCTTACTCAGATGAAGGCGCCCCGCCTGTTATGTCATGCGCGGCACCCACAAGCGGGACACGTGAGCACATGCAAACCCCCCGCGAGTAAAAGTTCACTATAAGGGTGAAATAGGCTTATGAGTCAATATCCATACATCATTTTTTTTTTTTGAAAGTGTTTATCCTTGCGTGTGAGTTGGAGCCCATCCCAGCTGACTTGACAAGAGGCGGAGTACACCCTGGACTGGTTGCCAGTCACTAGACAAATCATTCCCACTGGCAATTACACTTATGGACAATTTCAATCAACTAGGAAGCGCGTTTTTGGAATGTGGGAGGAAGCCAGAGCACCACCATAGCATGGGGGAGAATATGCAAACTCCAGACTAGAAGGCCTAAGATGGATTCGACCCTCAGTTTTAAAAACTGTGAGGCAGATGTGAGCTAACCACTACCCACCATACCACCCCTTCTTAATTATTATATTTAATGATTAGCTGTTCTGCATGAGTAAGGATGAGCAACTATTAGCCGCAAATTGACAAGAATCAAAGTGCTCTTAAAAGCTAAAAGAAAAAAAAAATGCACTGTGACATCTTACTCATTCCGAATGTTTGAAATAAGGCCACGTCAAACGAACATATAGACATTCCTTCACATTGCTGCATCCCACACACGCTGCACTTACTTGTTGTTGTGCGCCGAAACGAGCAAGCGAGACGCCTGTTTTCCCTCCCTGTGTGGGATAGCAACAGTCCACAGGAGATCCCTTCAGAAAAAAAAAAAAAACACAACACAATCCCAGCACATCAGAAGCGCCAACAAATAGTCCCAGCCGGCGCGTTGATGGCGAGTCCAGGGCAAAAACAATCCAGTTGGTTCGCGGGGGCAAAAAGAAGACGGCCGCTTCTCGTCAAAAGACCTCCTGGGGTGCGGCAGCCGCTCATGGTGTCATCATCATCCCGCATCCTCCGCACAGGCAACTCCCGAGATGAAAATCATGTCCGGCGTCAAACTGTGGCTGCGGCTCCCCATCAGATAACCGCCGCTTTATCTTCGGACGTATCCATCCGCTCCGAGCCCGCGTCCCAATTCTCGCTCGACGTTTGAGATGGAGGACGAGGACGGGAGGATGGTTGAGTAGCCTCCGAGCCGGCTACTAGAATGGAACTCAAGTGCTGCAACAGGAACTCGACGTGCGGACGTCCGACGGGTCGCTCGGTGAGCTTGTGAGAGGTGCGCGGGATGCGCACGCCGGTCTGTGAGGTTGCAGGGCGTTGCTGCTGCGCGGAAAAGGGGAAAAAAAAGTGGAAGAAAAAAACAAAAATAACATTGCTCAGTTTCTTGCTTATTCCATCCAGCACGTGTGCGTTCACTGCACACTGATGAACAATTACATCATCCTTGATAAAATCTCGAGTCTTTTTTTTTTTAAGTCATTCACTTCGAACGACGATTTTTTTTTTAATCCCCCGAATCAAAACACTCGTTTGGGTATTTTAAAACCAAGAGGTGCGTAAAACCCGCGAAGGTAAACAGCGGAGGAGATTTGCGCTCTCCGCTGTCTCTTTAACGGCCGCACCTGCGCAGCTGCCCGGTGCTGATGCTGCAGTGGCCGGGTTATTTTCGGTAAATCAGACGGGGTTACTCGCGTTCAAGTGGGCCCAACATGTCTGACATCACCCCAAGGGAGGGCATCAATATCTTTTTGAGCCAATCACACCTGTCTCCTCGTTCCCCGCCGGATAACAGGAGCCCTTCAGAGCCATCTCATGCGAGCCATTTCATTTTACAAGCGTCAAACTCAAGGCCCCCCCGAGGTCAGATCCGGTGGCCACATCGTTTGATGTGACCCCCGTAAAGCAAATCGTGTGCGTCCATTTCAATTTTAGTGCTCCAAGACGGAGCAAAATTGCAAATACTATGCGCTTTGGATAGCGTTGAGATATTGTACGCTTCTTCATTGTTACCAAACACTCTTTTTTATAATACATTGAGCAAAAGATGAACTATTTCGGGGACGACTACTTGTGTAGAAATACGGAATCAGGTGCATATTTGGCAAACGCAGTAATGGGGCCCTCAAAGATTTGGAATATTAACCCTTTCAGGGACAGCGATTACTACAGTGGACAGTTGATCGTGTCATCAGGTTACAGGGTGCATGAAAGGGTTCATGATGTTTACCATCACTCAGAGCAGGGGCATCAAACTCATTTTTGTCGCGAGCCACATTGTAGTTACGGTTTGCCTTGGAGGGTCGTTATGAATTTTGGGAAACCATATAAATGTTTAATCACCTCCACATATTACATGCACAGCACACAACAAATTGATGAATAACTGGTTTTAACGTCAGAAGTCAAGAATAATGACCGTTATTGTGGATTACGTATGACAATTTGAAATTTTGGTTCAGACTTGAGCAGGCAGCATCGAACTTGACATGCTTGATTTGCTTTCTCGGGCCACATAAAATGATGTAGCGGGCCAAATCTGGCCCCAGGGCCTTGACTTTGACACCATGACTTAGAGAGTGCGATATGAATATTAATCATTAATCTAGTTTGCCATTTCCGCCACTTTAATATCCTCACATTTCACTGCCCTCTTCATCTCCTCGATGCATCCTCCTCGGGTGGGCACTGACAGAAGCGCCATTGCAACTGGCAAGAGAGTTTTAACTCTTGCCGTTGTCGGTAACGCATGTTCGGTTTTCCTCTCGCCTTCTCTCTAATAACCCTGCTTCATTCATTAAAAAAAAAAAAAAAAATTCCAGAGGCACCAACAAGTTTGTATTGCTACCTTACTCAAGAATCAAGCCCACAAACACACTGCAAGATGACTGCATGATGTTTTTTTTTTGTATTATATTGTCATTTTATGTTAACTGTTCTTTTGATGGTGGCGTGGGCACCCGCAGCGGCTCCTCTTGTTGTCTTGTCTGGTTGAAAGGGAGGAAATTTCATCACATGCAGCGCATTTGACAATAAAGTTGTACTTGACTTGACTTGATAATCCGATGACATGTGCAGTCGAACAAAGGGAGCATTTGCTTTTTTTTTTTTTTTTTATGACCACACTAGTTTATTTAGCTGAATAAGGCTACAAAAAAAATTTTTTTTAGAAACAGCTCTCATTGACAGCAGGTGTAACCCTTTTTTTTTTTTTTTTAAATGAACTAAATACATCCAACCATTTGCTCCACTCTTATCCTCATCATAATCCCGATTACATAATGACATATTTGCCCTGTGGAAATAGGGTTGGCCTTTGTTCACTTTCCTTTGCAACCTTTTCGCCGACAAAAGCGGGCGATTCATCATCGACACGACAAGAAATAACTCACTCTGCCATAAAGATTGAAAGTAAGCACTTTTAGATACGGGGTGGTTAAAAACTAAACAAAGGATGTATTTGTAAGGCCGTGTGTTTGCTGTACACGTGAGGAACACCTCACCTGACGTACAAATACCGTCGGAGCGACAGGGAGGGGAACAGTCAGACAAGATGGCATCAACGAGAACGACGCTCCTCTTCGTGGTCCTGCTGCTGTTTTCCATTCAAGGGGCGCTCACGATTAGAGGTGATTATATTGCATTCATGAAAAAAACTTTACTTGGAGGATATTAATGCTTGGCTACTGCGTTAACTATGTTTGTTATTGTGGCTGTGAACGGCATTGAATCATACTAAGAGCTGTTTGCAACAAGGCTATTAGCGTTAATGAAAACTGGCAAGTGAAAAGAAAAAAAAAACAAAAAAACGGAACAAACATTTACCTTCCCGAAATAAAACAAACAATGAAAAGGCTTTTAAGCAAAACGAAAACTAACTGAAACAATATTTTGTAGTTAGAAAAGGGACGAAAAGCACTGCTCCGCCATACAAAAGGAGGAAATGTCGAGCAGTCATTTCGGGATTACAGTTGACTTTCACTTTAAATCATAATTAGTGTGACTTGTTTTAATTGTGCACTCAACAAAATACTCCAGCGATAGGCTTTTTGTGGAAAAACTAAAACTAATACTAAAACTAACAGATTAAAATCTAAAATGAAGCATTTTTTTTGGGGGGGGGGGGACCTAAATGCGCAGGACAAGCCTCACTTTCCATTCGACTGTCTGTGATGAACGACCTCTCCAACATGACCCCCGAGACCTATTCCACGTCCGTGCTGGAGGGAGGGGTGCTGCTGGGTGCTTTGAGGAGAATCCAGCAAACGCAGCCCGGCTTTGAGTAAGACCTCGCCACATGTGTGAGTCTCAGCCGTTTTCTCTTCCGAACTGTATCGCTCACGCGTCGCAACCCACCAGGTTCACCGTGACGGAGGACCCAAACTACGGCCTGTTTCTGGAGAGCGTGAACGGCGTGGCCGGAAGGGAGCAGGATCAAACTTACTGGGAGATTCTGTCGGAGAACTCGGGGGAATACACGCAGTTGGACGTGGGTGAGTTTCCTCCCCGGAGTAAAATCACATCCGAGGGAGGTTTAATGAGCTGTAATGAGACATGGGGATTCGGGTTTTCATTGACTCACTGCTTTGGGGACGCCCGTTTGTGTGATGTAATCGGTTGGGCCCTACTTCAGACAACAAAAGCAGACCACTGATCACCTTTATTTTGTTGTCATAAACCAAGTCACATCATAACGGAAAAATGAACGTGAAATGAGCGGTGCATTAAAAATTGTTTTGTTTTTTTTCCCTTCAGAATAATACAATCGAGCATATTACTTGTGTGTGTGTTTTCGCAGGAATTGGCTGCTACACACCGGCCGAAAACGAACACATTGTGCTGAGGTTCAGCACTTGGGCCAAATAGTCGTCAGAGACCTTCAAGTCATCCGAAACGTTTGAGCGAGAGAAAATCTTTTTGATTTCATAGATGACGCAGTGCATAGATAAACAAAAAACAGCACCGCCTGGTGGTTAACATTGGTAACGTGTGAGCAAACATACCGTGAACAATTCTAAACAGATGACAATGTAGGTGATATGTTTGAGGACAGCAACTGAGCAGGAACGATGCCTCATCTTTAAGGGTTCACATGTACAAAATGTCGCAGAAAATAAAGATTCGGCAACGCAAACAATTGACGTCTTCATCCCTTTCTGCATCACAATGTTGATCTCAATGAAAGTCTGCAACCGCATTTTCTGTGTTAAATGTGCCTTCCCCCCCCCTGAGCTCTAGCAGTGATGCTCCTCCCTTTTGCAATGAGATTAAGGTTTCAGCTCCCTCCTGGACAGATGGACGAAGCGGTGGAGCCACTAATCTACACGGTTTCGTTCCTCTCATGCGTTGAGCTTTAACTTCCAATAAACCATAGTGTAAATTGTACACGCTAACGTATGCTGAAATCATAACCACTCCTGGATCAATAATAAACTTTTAAAAAAAACTGACACTATCCCTCGGAATATGTCGAGGAATCCGAAGAGTGTCCCGGCCCTCATGAGAGTGCAAAACAGAAAGAAAGGGAGGAAGTGATTCAATTCATATCAACCGTTACTTGTGTCGACGCCGCAGCTCGTTTACACCAGCCGACCAATCTGCTGCTCTTCTATTCCTCAGGTGATGTCTCCTGTCAGTTTCTTTTATTTCTAGCCTGTAGATACTGAAAACGGAGAAAAGAGATGGGTCATACACACTGTGGAATTCCAGAAGAGGGACAACAAAAAATTATGTTTGACTCCTTTAAACTAGACTTCCATATCCATTTGGGTCTGAACGATTCTGAAAAAAATTTATGATTGTGACCCCTCACACCGGCCCACTCAATGGCGACCCCTCAATTGCGATTTAATATGCAATTATTTTTTGGAAGGTACAATTTAGAGTCTTCAAAAACGAAACTAAAATGTCTCTGATTGGAATTTGGGAGGAAGGTGGAGTACCTTGGAGGAACCCACCTTTACAAAGTGAGAACAAACAAAGTCCACGCAGGAGGGCCTAAGCTGAGATTCAAACCCAGAACCTCTCAACTGTGCGGCAAACATGCGAAGCACATGCTTACTTTTCTATATTTCTAGACTGTAACTCCAGGCTGACTGGTGCCAAATTGAAAACACAGACGTTGCCATCAAAGAAAATGTGACTTGTAAAGTAACTGTACTAGGGAAGCATTTAATAGTTCTGTAGCATGTTGAGGTTCCAAAGCAACTTACGGCATGATAAAGCACAGTCGCAGATGCAAGGGACGCACTGGGCAAAGAAACGCTTCCAGCCCGTCTCCTTCTTCTTGCAGTTGTGGATCTGAGTGCAGCCTTGCTTGGGAGGACCAGAGTAGCTTTTAGACGCGCAGGTCGCGTTGCAAGTGCCATTGAGTTCCCTCTCACTTATTTCAATGGAGCCCTTTTTGCACATTCCTACAAATAACATTTGAAGGGGGGGTGGGGGGGGGGCAATTAGAAGAGGTTGAAAGAGTGCTGTGGCGTGATGTACCATCGTGTTTACGTACTGAGGCAGGAAGGTTTCGGAGTCCACAGGCCATTAGCTTGGCATGTCCTAGTGGCGTTTCCCACCAGCAGGAAGCCAGGACGACAGGAGTACCTCAGTACAGCTCCCACCCACCAGTCATCTCCAGAAACCATTCCATTAAAATCCACATCTGGCTTCCCGCAGTTCACTGCCATAAAATGTAAAGCTCACGTATTCAGACCACTTGGACTGTTCCATATCCCTTTATTGTTGCATTACCTCTGCACAGGGACTTGTAACCCAGCCAGCAGCAGCTTGAGTCGCCACAGGGATCTCGCCTGAGCTCCTGGTGGCGCGCCTTGCAACCGGACAGACAAAGCGGGGCTGTCCCTGACCAGTAGATGTCACTCAGGAAATCTGGTTGCCCAATCCATTCTATGTCCCCTGCTGGAAACACTTTGATGACTTTTTTCCCTTGCCCAAACAGCACAAAGCCACTGTGCCACTCAGCACAGCCGCAAAAGATCAGCAAGTGTGCTGAAGGAAATGACTGCATTCAAATTCACATAACGGGCACAAAAATTCTTTGTTCACAACAAATATTGTCTTTGCTCATCTATCTGTGGCGGTGACAGGTGACTAGATGGCAGAATAGTTGATGGTCTTTCTTCAATTCCTGCAAATGTATTAGCGTTGTGGTCATGTAAACGGGCCCCGACTCCACACTGAGCGAGTACATTTGTGAGTAATTTGAAATATCATTATGTCAGAATATGGCTCATTCAAGAATGTGGGGACATTTTCAATAATAAACTTCAAATAATCCATGCCAAAAACAACAAAAAACAATATTCTTGTGTAGATTATAGTTATGATAGACAAGATGTAATTGCAGCTCTCGTAAAGTAAGTCTTAAACATTATTTAATATAGTTTTTTCAATATGATACACTTTGAGCAGCTAGCATCGAAAAGAAGCTAGCATGCCATCGTGAGCAAACACGAACATTAGCGTTGAATTGCCGTTTTCGTAATTAGAGCAGGATTAAAATGTAATTTGCCATCAAAAAATCTGTGACACTATTTCACTGTCAAGAATTTTTAGAGCATTATTTGATTTTTTTTTTTTTTTGGTGACTTCAGTATATGTAAAATGGATGCAGAGTTGAGGGTTCCCATTGGCTCAGCAACGGTTGGGAAACTTTTAATTCATCACATGGCAAAACAATTGAAGAGTTCATCAAAAACAGTCCCCATCCTGAAACGAGCGTCGTCAGCAAAGTAACAAGGCGGCATAATAGATCTTACCACTAAAGTCTTCCTCTTCGATCCATTCAGACACCTGAGACGTTGCCTTCTGCAACGATGTCAAAAACAGCAGCAGCAGTGGATTCAACCTCATGGCTTTGATGCTCCTTTACAACGTTTTTGGCAAACCCTGCAGATCGGGGAAGCCAGTCAAGTCATGGCGTCCAGGAAGGAGTCAATACTTTCCTGTCCTTGCACATTAGTCGAGCAGGGAGAGCTGAGTGAAGACGATGAGGAGTAACACATTAAGCTGCGTGTGTGGCCTAATCTTCTACGACACGGTCAATATCTCTAAGGTTGCGTACCTGGAGCAAACGGTGGGAAAATGTGTCTTTTACCCAGTTGGCATTTGAATACAGCCAAGACAATGAAATTCGGGGGGAAAAAAACCCACCTTGCCTGTATGCAGAACAATCTAAAGTGTTGGTTTTCCACAGTCAGCACTGACAGATGGGATTTATCTTTTGAGCTGTAATAAAGAGAAAGTGACGTCAGGGGGCGCAGTAAAACACTGATCTGCACAATAAAACCGGCGGAAATGTGCTAGAATGTTCATCCACTTCTGTCTAAATAATCCAATCAAATGTAATGTAAGAGGTCGGTCAAATATTGCACAATAATGCTCAATTTTGACTACCAGGCAGGGGTCAATATTGGCCATAATAATAGTGCATCTGTGTCAATAAATCATGAATATAACAAGTATTTCACATTTTTAATTTTGCGCCTGTGTGGAGCTAAAAAAAAAAAAAAAAAAAGGTAATCCAATCTAGGTCTTTATTATGGCGATGTTGCAAAGATTGTCAATAATAAACAATAATGAACAGTTCAGTGACGATGAAAAAAAAAATTAATTTGGTGGGTAAAAAACAAAAAGCACGTCACTAACGTATTGGTGTACTTGCCTGATTTAAGTGCAAGCAGCAGGGATCGGCTCCAGCTCCCCGCCACCCTCAACGGGATAAGCGGTATAGAATATGAATGGATGAACCAAACATTTCTCAGCACAACAGTGGAAACTGCATTTTAATTTAGGTTCTGGATACAGTACATGCTCATGACAACGGGGTCGTCATCACATATCACATTCCTCTTTATCAGTTATCAATGCCACCTTCATGTTCGGGAAAATGATCACACAACTCTGTGAGGCTACGTTGTAGGAGGTAGGACGCATTGGATGAATTCAAGGTATAATCGTACAAAATTACAGACAATATGGTTGTCCACAATGTTAGCAAACAAGATAGGCATTTAGGGAGGGGAAAAAGGGGGCGAGGGGTGTCAATTGCCTAATATAGGCTTGTTAGTTTGACGATAAAATAATTCAACTATATGCTCACATTTTACCATTCACTGAAACTGGGTTTCAGCTGAGCTAGAAACAAAACGTGGTGCCTTGGGATACAAAGTTAATTTGTTCCGTGAGCGAGATGACGTCAACACTGCACTCAGCAAGGTGCAATATTAGTAAGAATATCTTCATGCGAGTATTGTGATGACTATCTCTGAACAGCGTTTGTGTTTGAATATCCATTGATTAGAGTTATAAAACCGCCACCATAGATGCTAATCATTAGCCGTTCTATGGAGTTTTTCATTAATTGCTAGCATGAAGCTAGAGGAGGCATTCCAACAATTGGTCACCTTCTGTCAAAAGTTGTTTGCAGCCACCGTGCAGCGGTTGTCCTGGATCTCAAATTTGCACTCATAAATTAAAGCAAAAACATTGGCCAGCTGACTTGTATCTCAAGGCAACACTGTATTCACATACGGATCACCCGAGTGGTGCAAGAGGTCAAACTGTCTGCGCGTCTTGTTCTTGAGGAGCATCTTGATACTGCAGTATGACGGTGTTGTCCGCGGCCTGTGTCAAACCTCCAGTGAGAATGGAGAACAAGATGCTCTCCTCCTGACCGCCCGCCTCACAGCTGACGGCCGGCGCTTCCGCCTTCTGCTCCTCCAGTAGCAGCCCTCTCAGCTCGACCTGCGTCTCTGAAGGAGCGGCGCCGGGGGACTCGTCGTCGCACTCCTCGGCGTGCCCGCGTTGCCTCTCTCGCATCAGCTGCTCGGTCAGCTCCACGCTCTCGTAGCGGATCAGCTGCAGGCGCAAGAAGCCGTCTTCGTGCTCCTTGTACCTGGTAGCGACGAGCGGGTTCGTCAACAGGAAATTGCGTCCGTCACCGGATGCGCCTTTTTAATTCGGCGTCGTGTACCTGAACCGCGGGTGTCCGGAGGGCCATTTGAACTGGTGTTTCTTGTGCAGGTGGACCGTGAGGTTATTGCCCCTGGTGAAGCACTGATCGCACACGTGGCACTTGTAGCGAGCTATAAAATTCCCCTGAACAAAGACAATGTCAGTGTGAATATCATCTGCAATCACATTAAAAGCGATTTACGGTGATGGTTCATCACCAGGTAAACATTTAAGGTCCGTCCGTTACAGGTGAAAAGCCGCAATATTGAGAGAGCATAGTTTTGAAAAGTCATATTTTAGAATAATGTACGACTACGAATAAAATGATTCAGGAACAGATTTATAGCATTTCAATATTGAAAATAGATTTCATAAACGAAACGCATTCAACTTTCATTCAACACGGGATAGGAAAAAGCCACGAAAAAAGTGGCCATAAACACCAAATGTTCAAGAGAGAAAAACAAATAAATGACTAGAAAATCACCGATGTAGCGGTTTTAATGAATCGTGATCCCATGGGAGAACCCTGTATTGCTGCTTCTTGCCTCATGCTCTTTTTTGTGGTGATTCTTCAAGGTAACAAAAGTGCGAGAGGTGAAAGTGCAGCCGGAAACATCACAGCGGTAACCAGGCTCGATCCTGTGGCTGTCCAGATGTTTACGCAGGTCCACCAGATTCTTGCAACTACAAATAAGGAAACCACAATAGTAAGCACTTCATGATGACATTTTATAAAGGAGCAGATGCACTTTTCAAAAACAAGTGCAGCTTTGCAGGACCCGGTACCTGTATTCACAGAATTCACAGACATACGGCCTCTCGTTGCTGTGGCGGAACTTAATATGGTTGCGCATCGCTGAAGGCGACGGACATGTCATGTCACACAACGGGCACTTGTAGTGGCTCACTAAACAAAGCAGAGATGAACGTCGCAGGGTTGATGGCATGGAAAAGTGAGGGTGATATGGAACGGAAGATGAACTACCCGCGAGCTAACTCACCGTGGGTTCTCATATGATCTCTGAGTAGTCTCTCAGTTGCAAAGCGTTTTGAACAGTGGGAACACTGGAACCTTTGGCCTAGAGAAAACAGAAATCAAAGCACACAAAAGCAAAAAACTTCACTTTTCCAGGTATGTCCGTGAATCATTTTGCCTATACGTATCCCTGTGCCGTGTCTCTATTTTCACCTTCCATCGCACTCTGTCGAATGATGTGGTCAAAGAACTTTGTGTTATTGGCGTACATCCCTCCGCAACCCGGACACGCCACCACCTTCTCCTGTGTGTGTCTTCGTAGATGCTCCCGCAACTTCGGACGGCCTTTAGCAGTAGCTTCGCAATCTATGCAATAGAAAGGGAAGGAATTCGCGATGCCATTTGTGCTGAACAGAAACAACGGCCATTTCTGACCTATCATAACGAGATGATCACTTACCCTTCCATCTGCAACGTACAGGGAAATCGCAGTCTCCCGCTGGTATGTCTATAGACAAGCTGTGAAGCTCAACGTGTCTGTAGAACCACTCTGGATTCTCATAAGGTGGTTGCTTTAACAGAGATGCAGAAGACAAGCTATTACATTTTAAAACCTTACGTATTTTTTGTGAGATTTATCACAGATTACATGTCAGATGATAGAAGACATTTTGAAAACAATTCCCAAGCACACCTCACAGTCCTCCCACAGGCAGGTAAAATTGTCTGGGATTTCAGGGACAATGTTGCGGTTCTGGGAGCCGATGGAGCACGTGCCGATTTCTGGCTGGCCACTAAGCACCTGCTGACCCAACTGTTTCAACTTGGTATGGTAACAATGAAAGAAGAGATGTCGCCGGAACTCTTCAGGGCCCTCCACAGAGTAGAAGCCGCAGTCTCTCCAAAGACAGTTTCTCTCTCCTGTTCAGAAAAGATCATAATCAGAATTGGGGGCGGGGGGTTTCGTCGCCTCAGCCAGTCTTACGAGCAATTCAGTCCATTTGGTTTCATCGTGGAGAAAAAAAATAGGAATACTGTATAACAAAGATGGTGATGACAGGGATGTGCATGCGGATCAAGCATCCGCAGCTGCATTTTACTTCTGTGGGCTAATTCCTTCCCTCTGTCATAACGATGATGCACGAGATTAACTGCAGTTCTCCATATTCAAGCAGCCAACGAGTGAGTGAATGAGTAGAGAGGAACACCATACCGGCTTCAACTCACCCTCTGGTTCGTCTTCATCCTCCTCCGCCATGTTCACAGCATCCAAGTGAACATCTACATGCTCGCAAAACATTTCCATTTGACTGAACGACTCCTGACACGAACCCCACTCACATTCCAATTCCAGCGTTTTTTTCTGTAGTCGTTTGTTGGGAGGCATTTTCTTGAATGGTTAGTTTGAATACAAAAATGTTAATCGCAGCCTGGACTGCGTAGTAATTCTACTAGTAATATTATCACATTTTCTTTAAAACACTAGGTCCATTTGGAAACACGGCGAAGAAACGGAAACAAGGAAAAGCTATTCAAATTATTGGCGACATTAAAGCACCTGCGCTGCTTCCCGCTGTGTGAATAGCACAAATATGCTGTAAACGTCCAAGACCGGCTGCTTTTAACGAGCTGTGCAGCGCTCTTAATGGTTCTGCGGGAACAAGACAGTATTTATTTGTTCCGCTGGAACAAAACAGTTATTTGTTCCAGGCATTTACTGTTAATGCGTGAAAAGCAACCACGCGCCAAAATAAATTTCATTTTATCCTTTTTTTATATTGACATTAAAACACTACCACAATATATTTTAAAGGTTTCTTTGCGTATGTCAAACTCATTTATTGGATTGTTGGAGCTCGATCTAAAACAGTTTTGTGCTCTTGTGGCCAAATCATATGATGCACGTCAAAACATTTTACAGACAACAATATTGTATTTACCAATTTTGAAAAAAAAGGAACAAACGATACTAATACGTATTGTGTATATCGGCCTTTATTTTACAGCTTGTGACAACCATATTTACAATTGCCAGCATCACATTTGAAGTTACCAGTACATTCTAGATGTAGATCACAGTAGTCCAGTGCTTTTTGACAAAACATTGAGCCCTGGGTGACAAAAAAAAGAGAATATCTTTACCCTTCTCAGTAACTTAATAGTGTTGGGTTTCCCCAAGTGTATTAGGGTACTTTTATAATGCACCCGTGGTTGTATATTTCCATGCTCGATAATGATGTGTTAAGTTTGCTCCTCCGTTTGCTGCCGTGGCATTTGACTTTCCCAAAAAAGGATGATCGAATTTAAATCCCTTTTATTTACATCCCCACAAGGTGATTAAAGTGAATATGTACTACTGCACTATAAATACAGTACGTTTAGACTGAATTTCATTCAAACTTCATGATGCATGATGTTGGTTGCTTCAGAGATTAAATCACTCTCACTACATTCCTGATAAACCCAGTACAAAAATATACTCTTTTGGGTGGAAAGAATGATCAAAATGACTCAAACATGGTCTCGCATTTCAAACGGTAATTCATTGAAATTCGGGTTACGCACTGAATAACTTATATTTCTATGTAATGTATTCGTATGATGCGAACATATTCTAGCCAATTGTAATCAGCCTGACACTGGGTCTTTGCCACACATTGAGGCTGAGGATCAAACGCAAATGAGGTAATAGAATATTTGAAAAGGCACAAACAATGAGCCTGTAAAATTGTTCCAGAAATATGAGTTGCTCTGTCATCCTCTAGACGTCATAGAAGAGGCGCACCAGATGGTAACGGATCCCAAACGCCAACGCACTTCCCATCACCTGCACCGAAAAAAATGAAAGTATTCATGTTCTTTTGAGGGTACATGTCGGTGGCTCTTTGGGCTGTTTTGGCTTTACCTGTATCAGGAGCATGATGGAGGTGAGATTCCTCTCGTGGGTGGGACCAAGGAATTTCAACACAAAATTTATTATGGTCATGTTGTTGCACTCAATAAATTCATCATCATCTTCTTGGCCTCTGCGCACTTCGAGGAGCTTCAATAACTCTGCAACCTGCCAAGGAAGCATTTTTTTTTTTTTTATATTGAATGAAACAATTGCTGAACACAAAAATAGCAGGTGAAAGCCTGTCATTTCATTTAACGGTTTGTAATGCTTAGACTATACTTAGGCTTTGGCATTACAAAGTAGTTTACTAAATAAATTAAATATCAGCAAAGGGCAGCAACTTTCAATGAGATGGAATAACAGAATCTAGTATCACAATACTTGCAACCACAACTAATAAATAAAGCCAACACAATAACGCTCTGTCTCAAATGAGCTTTAATATTGAACTGACCTGCAGAATGAGATGTCCTAGTTTGGAAAGGTCCTTGCTTTTGAATTTAGAGTAACTCATCCCCAGTTTGCCTGTGTCTGGATTCAACCTTACGTGAGCATTTTATAACAGGAAAGAAATGGATCAGGGCTCAAAGATGAAATGGACATCATATAAAATGTGTACATTTCGGATGATTAGAAGACAGCAACCTGGGAAGTCTGTGCCTGGGGCAGGGGATGATACGGAAAAGCTGTGGCAGGGAATAGAGAAAGTTGACCACTTGAGGAATGAAGAACAACAGCATTGTTTTGCTGAAGTGTCCCAGGATGCCCACAACAGCAAAAGTCATCCCGGCAAAGTAGCAGAAAGTGTCTCCCACAAACACGGACGAGGGGTACCTGTTAAAAAAAAAAAAAAAAAAAGAATATTGAAACAACAGTTTGCTTTCTTAAATCAACTGTGTCGGATGAGAGGCTTCACATACCAGTTGTGGTAAAAAAGAGCTAATGTAGTGAAGAAGAACGGCATCATGAAGTAGAGAGAGAAAACGTGGTCGTCGTGGTAATCCCCTTGAAATTAAGAAATACTGATTACATTGCATCCTTAGGAAGGATACACGGGGACAGAATCAAGTAAACTTTTGCGGGGAAATCGATTAACAGCAACACACCACTGAGCTCCAGCAGGTTGAAGATGATGATGGAGCCAGAGATGAACAGAGCTTGACCAGACTCGATGCCGTTAATACCAGCCAGGATGTTGATGGCATTTGTGCAGAAGACTGCCAGCATGCCCATGTAGACGTAGTAAAGAATGCCTGTCAAAGGAAAGAGCGATTAAATGAATGCGTTAGTCTTCTGTTTGTATCAGTTGAAATGTAATTTAATTAGCTGTAGAACTTTTTTTTTTTTTTTTTTCATACCAGTTGTGGTAAAAAAGAGCTAATGTAGTGAAGAAGAACGGCATCATGAAGTAGAGAGAGAAAACGTGGTCGTCGTGGTAATCCCCTTGAAATTAAGAAATACTGATTACATTGCATCCTTAGGAAGGATACACGGGGACAGAATCAAGTAAACTTTTGCGGGGAAATCGATTAACAGCAACACACCACTGAGCTCCAGCAGGTTGAAGATGATGATGGAGCCAGAGATGAACAGAGCTTGACCAGACTCGATGCCGTTAATACCAGCCAGGATGTTGATGGCATTTGTGCAGAAGACTGCCAGCATGCCCATGTAGACGTAGTAAAGAATGCCTGTCAAAGGAAAGAGCGATTAAATGAATGCGTTAGTCTTCTGTTTGTATCAGTTGAAAATTAATTTAATAAGCGGTATAACTTTTTTTTTTTTTTTTTTTTTTTTTTTTACAACAGCACTACTAAATCGTCTTCATGTGCAGAAGTAGGTCCACCAAATGCTGTGGCCGATGAGTTAACAACAACGAACCCGACTCACCTAGATCCAGGTGCAGCCCCAGCAGTGCCCTGAATGGTTTGGGCACCAGGATGACCGTGTTGCCAAAGTTAGTGAAATAGACCATGAGAAGTGGCAGGGAAGCCATAGTGGGAAGCAGGAGCTTGTGCCTCCATCGCAGGTTGAGCACGTCATCAGCGAATCCCAGGAAGATCATGCAACAGATGGCGAGCAGCGCGCCGATCAGCTGCACAAACTGAAGTAACAAAGTACAGTAATTGTACTTTGTTACTTTGCACCGCTGAATTTCGTGTGCTCCTAACCTACCTCATCATGTGGGAAGCCACTGCACTGATCTCCCACAAAGCAACTGAGGAAAGGCACTGGGATGAAGCAGAAGAGGATGATGAGGAAAACTGTCCCGCTGATGACACCTTGTGATTCTGGCCTAGAGAAGCAGAAGAGATCAAGCATTTCCCCCGTTCGTCTTGAATACATTCAAAGACAAGAGAACAGTACTCACACTTGATTTTTTGTTAATTTGTTGAGGTCCATCCCGTACAGTCTGGCCGAGATGAAATGGTCCTTGAAAGTGGGAATCAGCTTCAATGTGGCCAAACAGCCGAGAGCTGACATGAGGCCGTTGATGACCAGAGGTAAGAATGGCGACGGCGACATTTGACAAGCTATTTTGTGCTTCTTTTTGAGTTTGAACAGGTCAACGAACTGCAATTATTGTGACGTTGCCCAGTTTCTCACTCAATGGACAAACTACGGCAGTCTCCACTCAGGCAGACATCATGCTGCCATTTTAAGACATTATACAGTGACGCATAATTGAAATAAATAATGAATAGCTCCATAAATCATACCAGTTGCCTTTGGGAGATTTTACGATAAAATATGACAGGTTTATGAAAGAAGAAACACAAAAAATACTCTCCGAATGTCAGATTACACTGTACGTTTCCTTGTGACAATATACTTCCTACTACTGTTTTCAAAATAAAATCTCATTTTATTCTTACAGTACTGCACACTAAATATTCCTCTCAAAATGTATCAAAATTGCAAGGCTTTAAAAGACAACATATATTGCCATGCATAATTCCGAAATTATATTTAAAATATTTTTAGGGTGGACTCATAATTGCACAAGTATGGCAAAATATTGAACTAAAAAGAAATTTAGCATAGAGTATTAAATAATGGTATTTACATATTTTTTATTATTTATAAATAAAGGTAACAAAAAGTGAGTCATACAATAGTTTGCTCACTCGTTGAAAGTGGTTGAACTCATCGATCTCATTCCTGAACGCTTTTATTTCGAAAGCCGTGTTTCTTTTTCCGTTTTACCTTATACATTCCGCCCTGCAGCGCCACCTGCAGGTTGACGTCATTCTCCCGTTCCAATTGCCGTATTGTGGAGGTCTGTCTCGCTGGGAGATCAGGGGAGATTTGGAACCGAGGGGATCGGGCAGTACAGGATCATTAAGCGTGAGGGTGAAATTTAAAAAAAAATATAACATCATGCTGCCATTTTAAGACATTATACAGTGACGCATAATTGAAATAAATAATGAATAGCTCCATAAATCATACCAGTTGCCTTTGGGAGATTTTACGATAAAATATGACAGGTTTATGAAAGAAGAAACACAAAAAATACTCTCCGAATGTCAGATTACACTGTACGTTTCCTTGTGACAATATACTTCCTACTACTGTTTTCAAAATAAAATCTCATTTTATTCTTACAGTACTGCACACTAAATATTCCTCTCAAAATGTATCAAAATTGCAAGGCTTTAAAAGACAACATATATTGCCATGCATAATTCCGAAATTATATTTAAAATATTTTTAGGGTGGACTCATAATTGCACAAGTATGGCAAAATATTGAACTAAAAAGAAATTTAGCATAGAGTATTAAATAATGGTATTTACATATTTTTTATTATTTATAAATAAAGGTAACAAAAAGTGAGTCATACAATAGTTTGCTCACTCGTTGAAAGTGGTTGAACTCATCGATCTCATTCCTGAACGCTTTTATTTCGAAAGCCGTGTTTCTTTTTCCGTTTTACCTTATACATTCCGCCCTGCAGCGCCACCTGCAGGTTGACGTCATTCTCCCGTTCCAATTGCCGTATTGTGGAGGTCTGTCTCGCTGGGAGATCAGGGGAGATTTGGAACCGAGGGGATCGGGCAGTACAGGATCATTAAGCGTGAGGGTGAAATTTAAAAAAAAATATTTTTTTTTTTAAATGAGAGACGCTCGCGTGAGCAATGCAGTGTGTGCAATGGGACAAAGTCATATGCTGTTGGCGCCTCTCTTTATCGCCATGAAGGCAGCAGCTTCATGTTACCGCGACTTGCTTTCCATTCGCATTCTGCAGCCAGGACCGTCCAAGTTAAACGGTGGGTTCATTTAAATCTCATCACAAATATCATATTTGAGCTTCCTCTCTTACACGCGCGGATGCACATGGTCACGCTGTATTTAATTATGACTTCAAGAAGCTTATTAGGATCCTTCAAAAGCACCACCAATCCTGTTCTTGATTCTTAGTTTAGCATATTATAATGGTCCATATTGCTGCGAGGCTAACTGTCTGTTTGGTATGTTTCACAGTTTGAAGGGTGTCTGTCTGCCCTCTTCTGACAGTCCCTGACATTTCTACGTAGACATGAGAGGCTGCAGGAGATGGTGATGGAGCTCCAAAAGTTGAGCTGGCTGGCTCTGGTGGGGCTTTTCCTGGCCTCCTTACTCATCGTGCTGGTCTGGCTCTTCCAGTTCTCGCTGAGCCTCCTGCAGCAGTGGAGAACCAGGAAAGCGGCCGAGCATCAACACCGTCAGCTGCGTCCCTCCCTCGGGCAGCATCGTCATCACGGCTTGGCCGCAGGTGCGTGGGGCTTCCTGCTCAAGTTGCGCCCGGCTCGGGATGCAGGAGCCGAGTCGGAAGTCGGGGTTAAAGCCTTGTTGACCTCCCTCTTCTCCTTCAAGTCGTTCAGCGAGCAGTGTCGGAGGAGCTGGGTCAAAGCTCTGAATGAGCAAGCTTGCAGGAATGGGGTGAGTGAGAATTCTTTTCATCATCACGCGAGGAGGTACACAAGGACAGAGGGCGCGCGCTGGTAGTGTGGAGAGAAGCAGCGCAGGTGTGAATTTTGATGCTCTCTCCGTGTGCTGGAAGTGGATGTTGGAGAGTCTCATGGATAAGAGGATGTGGGGCATGTCCTTGCGTAACAGCTCTGAAGCAGAAGAGCGTAGAGACAAGACCGGCCGGTATAATCGCAGTATGAACGCCTACACCTTGCAAAAATAGCCTTCTTTACTGATTTGAAACGGTGGCCGCTTCGCTTTAGAATTATAGCCACAACGGAGCAATGTTCGGCAGTTTGCCCCCTGCCCCCCCATCATCTTTGTGAACAGTAATAGCGTAGTCGTAATTTGCATCTGCACTGACCCGCCAATGTCTGATCACCCACGGCAACAGACCACCACCAGCAGCAACGGAGTGATAGTTCCCCGTAGTTTTAATTGAATATATTGAACTATTTAAAAGCAAAACCCAGAGGATGTGGACTCCTGGCAAAGTTTAGTAGCTCGGCTTTTTTTTTTCCCCCCTCAAGCTATGTTGTATAATGACTCTGTGGCGGTACCGTATACTCAGAACAGAACTAAATAAAGTAAAATTAGAAACACCCCTGCATGATGCTTCATCGTTCACCTTCTCTGCAAACTGCAGCGCCGTGCGAGGCTCACCATTGTTTGGTTCAGCAATTCTATATTGAAATGTCACTCGGTAGAATACTCACCTGCACCTGAGTGAGTATTGCTAACATTAGTGGGAAAATAAATCATGGCCTGGTGTTTGTCGGTCCGCTTGTTTGGTACTTGACGGGGCTTTTCGTAGTTCGTGGAAGATGAGAGTGGCGGGACCGTTATCATTCTGGGAGATAGGATCAGCCTGGACTGCAGAAGCTCATCGTCCTGCTAGGAAATTCAATCATAGGAAGTCAGAAAAAGGTCCTATTGATTGGGCGATAAAATGAATTAAAACAGATCATTTTTCATGGGGAATGTCGCTCAGTGCAGAGACAAGCTGCTCCCTTCAGTGTGTTCATGTGATTATCAGCTGACACTTTCTGAAATGAGACCGCCAGCCGCGGCAACTTTATTCGCTCATTTGTATTTTAAAAAAAATAATAAATAAATCCTGGCACATGTGTGCGGGTGCACAAGCGTCCTGTTATTCGAGCTGCGTCTGCGGCGTATGCTAATCACTTGACTGCAGACGATAGTGGCTGAGATGACAAAACGCGAGTCTAATTTGATACACTCACGGCCACATTGGAGCTCGTCTGGGATGTTCTTCGCGTCGTTCTTGAACTTGAAAAACCTGCTGCGGGACATGGCTGCTACATGCAAGTCACACCCCATTCTTGGCCCGCCGCACTGAATGTCGTGCACTTTTTCCTCTGCTTTGCATTTTGGCAATTGCGGCTCTGTGTGAGCAAAACAAAACAAGAGCCCCCAAAGGGGGTGGGGGGGTGGGGGCACAGGGCCATGAGGGGATTCGCCTTTTCGCATGAACCTTCGCTCTTGTCCCGTATTCAAGGTCTGGCAGAGGTCTTGACATAATTCATATGAATGCTTCGAAAGGGGAAGTGCACGCTGTGATTAAAATTATTCATCTATTTGGATTTACTCATCAGATGTGAAAGTCAAAGGCGAGATCATAGCCCAAAGCCACGTTGTCATCCTTCAACAATGACATCATGGCGGTGCCATGATATTGATGCGGATTGCGGATATTGATGTGAGAGATTATCACCGCATTATATTCCTGTTTTTTTGTTGTTGTTGTTTTTTTTTTTTTTAAATTTTCAATGGGCAATGTCATGAATGGTTTCATTGTCTTCTCATCCACCCACCTCCCCACCCCCTTCATTTTATGGGTGAGACGGACACAGGTCAGTTTGATGGATGGATGTTCCTAATTTGTCTTAGCAGGCTAACAACTTGCGATTCTAAGTCACTCAGTACTCGCAATTTGTGGTTACGGAGTTATTCAGTCAATTTTAAGCACCCGGCGGCATGCATATGTATATATAGATTCTAATTGTCCTTCTAGTTCTGTCAATCAGGGTCCGAAAAGGGGAGTTGCGGAGCGAGATGTTAAGTACTTGCAGCCGGGTTCTTCACAGATTTCCACATCTGTCAAAAACGATGACGCTGATAATGACTGCGAAGAAACACTCCAGCCCCTTCTTCCGGGTCTTTTCGCTTTAATCCGCGGAGTGGGCCTCCACTGCAGCTGGTTAATTACGGTCATAGCAACAGAACGACTTCCTCAGCGCCACAGTAAGACACACTGTGTGCACACGGTTTCCGATAAACAATGATTTAGGTTTGTACCAAAATGGGGCCAATGACTCTTTTGATGTCATTCGTCGCAGAGGAACGATTGTAAGTTTTATGGTTTCAATCGGAGGCATTTATGTCTTGGTGATTTATACGCCAATGATGATGTCTTCTGGATACTGCACTTTTATGACACTTTTTGTATACACAACAGAGGTATGGCCATCATATTTGGTCAAGTTTCATACCTTGGATCCTGGTCGGCGTCATCAAGATTGCCTGAAAGAAAAAAAAAAACTGATAAGAAAAATGTCAAAGTCCAAACCTCTGTCAATATTAAAGAGAACAAATAACATCTTCCGACGTGTTGGCAACCAGACTTCTTTCTAATCTCTTGAGCTTCACTTCCCGGGATGTTGGCCCAGTGTTGCACTGATGAGTTCGGAAAGGTGCTGAGTGCAATCATGGACTGTTCTCTCTTTTAGCCCAACTTGCCACTAAACCTTCATTTAGACCAGTATGCATGTGAAAGATATCCCTTTTCCCGATATTCATTCATGTAGAAAGAAAATGTCCGTTTAATCTGACTACTGTTTGAAGAATAATAATAAAACAGAAACGAATAACAAAACAGAATCGACAATCTTGCACGTAGTTATTTGCTGTCACTGTTGTGACCTCAATCTCTCATTGAGAAACGAAAAGAAAAGACCGAACAGGCGACTGAAGGTCGGCCGCAGCCACCGGCTGAGCGTATTCCTGGTTACCGCTTGTGGTTTTTTTCAGAAGTGACCAGCCCTCGGGTGCGAACCAGAATGTTTCTGACAAACCTGAAGTGACACAGTCGTAGTCCTCAGGATAGCCCACAAATAACCGACACGTGCGTACGAACAGAGGTCACAAGGACAAATCCAGTGGATGTGCCGCGAGCTTTCGCCCGTTGATGACAAAAATAAGGTCTGGTTCCCGCGCTGAGAGAAAAATTGGCAAAGTCTTTGCCGTTTTTTTTATTTTTTCGGGGGTGGAGAGGGGGTGTTTGAATGTGTGAGATGATATTAGCCTTAGCAACCTAGTGCCTCGGCGCTTTGGAGTACAGTACATGACATGCCCTTAGAAGAAGGAAAGAAGCGTTTGATTTGCTCGCGCGTCATGTCCTCAAAAAGCTAGCTACTGAGATGCATTTGCATTCGTTTTTTTTTTTTTGTAAACATACTCTGAGCCTTGGGCGAGGCGTCACGCAAGTAAATATGAGAAGACCCTTCTGCCTTCCATGAGCAACTAGACTAATCTAAGGTCATTCTGCTAAGAGGCGTTGACTAATCCGGACACCCGCCCCCCCAACCCCTCACCCCCTCTTGTGTCTTAATTTGCTAATATCTCATGGGCTCTCTTTGTCTCGTTTTAGCATGATTAGCAGTGACGTTCGGGGGGAATTTGTGCACCATGGTCTTAATTAGCCTGATGCAGACGCCAGCGTTCTTTGGGACAAAATTTTGGCAATACACCTTGGCGAGCGCACGCGCGCGCACTCAATCAGAACCCGTTTCTGGATGGCACGCAATCGGAGATGCATCACTTTGTATTTGCTCGCGCTCTTTGGATGCGATGAATGGCCGGCTGACCGAGCAGTTTTCGAGGCTTGGGCCAAGCAAAGTAAACATCGCTGTTTGTAGTGTGTCGTCACGTGACCATCGTGTTGGTCCAGACCTACGTCAGCCTGCAGCGCCGCACTTTGCCTCTCTCGCGTAGGAACACGCAGGCGGCGCAAACTAAGTTAAATCATCCTCCTACTTCTGCCCCGCCTCCGCTCTTCAGCTTGGAAGAGATTGGACTTGCATCTAGAGAGACATATGTTCTGACAATGGGGGGATTTTGTTTTCTCACACTTGCATCTCCTGAGTCAGACAATGAGGTGCACGAAAGCGGATCGTTCGGCAGAAACACACAGCGGTGATCCGCCGGATTCTGGTGATGTTTGATTTTGGAGTTGGTCGGAGCACTTGGGGCAGTGACCCCCCAAAAAAAAGGGACGGAAAAATGCGGGTATCATCCAAGGCCCGGCTCCCCGTGGCTGGTGAGGATGAATTTGAAATCTGACTGCTTCAAGTCACAGTCCCGTTGACATCGGCCAGCTCGACTGATTCTGAAGGGCCTGGACAGATTAAATGCGCATGGCGACACGCGCATGCTTCTATCTAATTAGATAATGAATCTCCTAAATTGTATATAAATCTGTGGCTTTATAAAGTAGTTCATGTTTGATCAAGTGAAAATATGCCTCATCTAGGATGACTATAATTATCCACTTTTGAGTTCTGCGGTGAAAACAACTCAAATGGCGCGCAGAGCAAGTACGACATCTTCAAAATTCAGAAACGTTATTGTGTAATTATGCTTTGAAGCCGGTTCCAAGTCATGAATGACATCACTGAACTGGGAGTATCTCGCTCATGAAGACAGTGGAATCCGCAACGGAGTCACAATCTCCCATGAACTTGAACATGCTCCCTTATCAGCCTTCGGTCAAACATATGTCGCCATTTTGCATGCCAGCGTCCTCGTTCTGACTGAACAAAATGCAACTCGCTGCTGGCCGTCGCAGCGCTGTCATGTCCGTGTCATGAGCGGCGACCGCAATAACCCCCTTGGTTGTCTGGCAACCGCATTACACGACCAGATGGTGGAAAGACATGGACAGTATCGTCATTCAAAAACGGCGAACCTTTGGCATAGGCAAAAAAAAAAAAAAACAACAACAACAACAAACTTGCTGTAGCCATGGAATGAGATCGGTGCAGTTCTTCCATGCCTGACACCAACCGTGTTTAAAATTCATACACTGCCCTAGTTAGTTGGTGTCCTCGTGATACGGACCAAGTTTCATTAGCCGGCTGGGAGAGAAGGAAACGGGAAAGAAAGAAAAGAAAAAAAAAAGCCGCCCTCCCTCAGGCCTCTGACTAATTGCTCGCGAGCTGCACACAAGACTCGCACTACCGCTGCGGTTCACAATCTTTGATGTCATCCAAAAAAGTGTGTTGCCTCTTCACGGTCACGTCCGCTTACGTAATATTTGAGTCCGTTTCTTCTCTGCCTCCCTCTGTCTCTCGCAGAGCTCCATCCAAATCACTTTTGACAGCAGAGTCCAGTTTATTGCCGTCCCCGCAATCGAGAGCGTGACCTGCGCTGACCAGTCTGCACACAGAACGGTGCGTAATCGTCCGTCGCTGTACGTTATTTGTGCGCCCGTGCTTGAACCGTAGGAGAGGCGCAACGATCAATCCGCATCTTATCACTTCTCAAATTAATTACATTCGTTTTGGGTCATCGATGAATCGTTTACTTTTTTTTTTTTTTTTTTTGAATCTTGGTTTCTCAATAGCGTCCGATTTTGAAAGCGTGATTGTCATTGGGTGTTAAGTGCGCTTTAATACTTACCCCTTCAGAGACGACCGAAATTTTAAAAAAATGCATTGAATTTAGGTTTCTGCTGGAAATATTTTGTTGACACATATCGCGACGTGAAGAAAGAGTGAATTTCGATGACGCAAGATAGAAGAGCCTGGATTGATGGTGCCAATCTCTGACGACCCCTTTTCTTGCCCGGCAGGTTTTACATTGTAAATGTCGGGTGGACACGGTGGCATTTCCTGTGACGGTTACTCAGCAGTCCCCCGCTGCCGTCGCCATGGACACCTATCAGATTACAATCGCACCGACAGTGGCAAAGGTACCGAGGCACACCACCTGGTTCCTTTTGAGTTTGCACGTCTCTTTTACGAGCGAGTACATTTGCATCGCTAGTCAAATAGTTACTCGACGAGGGGGGAATGAGAAGACGTGCCGTCACTGATGATGACATAAGCAACAGAACACCATGGACAGGCTACAGCGCGTCGAGTTCATACCTAGTTTGTGTCGACGAGAAACTTGATTTCAGTTGTGCACAACATCCATGGAAACGTTTTACGGTCTGCTGTCCGTCTCCATGTGTAACACGTTCTCCGACCTTGCGTCCCGCGTGTCCCGATTCCGTTCATCAGGTGGTCGTAAGTCTGGAGGACGCGGAGGACGAAGGACTCTTGGTGTCGTGGACTCTTTCCAAGCAGCCATCGTTGAAATTGACCGCGTCGCCGTGCAAACTGCCGAGACATGTGAGAAGATTCCATGTTAGCACTCGTGCTGTTGTGAATCCCCCCCCCCACACCATCCCCCTCCAGCCCCTCTCGAGTAAGATTCTGCACTTTAAACATGGAGGAAATTGTTTTTCGATCAGGTTTGGGAAGGAAATAGAAAGATGCGCTTTCTTTTTAAAGAGAGTAATAAAAAAATGCGAATAAATATTATCTCCTCTAGTGTGCTTTTGAAAAATCTTTTATAAAATGCAAACGGTATTGTACTGTACAAAAGGCCATCAAAAGTGTGAGTCACAGTTGGGCTGACATTTTATATATCAGTTCATGGAACGAGTTATGTTCCTTTCTTGCAGCGGTGTCTTGCTCGCGGATTATCAGTTGTCTCATCAACTGGCGGTTCCTTCCAGGGCCCGGATGACAAGGGAGACTTGGATGTGATCAAGAGCCTTATTGAGGACACTCTCTTCAGCTCTCATCCGGCCATGATGCTCAACCTCAGGGCTTGCACAACGACATCTCCAGTAAGGATCCTTCTTCCTCACTTTTATTTCCAGCCGGATTAGAATATGCCTAAATCTAAGGCCTCGTAAGATTCATCGAAGACTCTAAATCCAAAGGGTGAGAACGTGAGCCGAAATACACGGACTCCACTTCTCGCCCGAAGACAGCATTGTGTTTTTTTTCTGCTCACAGGTCCCCGTGGAGCAGCTATCGCTAGGATTAAAGCCTGTACCCCAGAGTGTCTTTGTGCAGCGACTACTTCTACGGCAGCTCAGGGTGACCTTAAGTAAAGGTCAGATTCGTTCCCCTGCGTGGCTTTGGTTTCCTTTCTGTCCGGCGTTCTGTCCGCCACCGCCTCACGGAGCTTGCCGTGTGTGCTTGCAGGCTGGTGTAGCTCAGTGGAGCTGTGCTGCGTCCTCAGCCTCAACCACCCCTCTTCAGAAAGGACAACCTCCTTTCTGCCTGTGCCCCACAACCCAAAGACCCCAGTGGAATGGCGAGAAGAAATTACCCTGTGAGAAGGCATCTCATAATATGCCAGGATTGGCAACGTTTTTAAAAAGAAGTGAATGTGTTTTTGTTTTTTTGTTTTTTTAAAAAGCTTGCAAAGTGGGATATTTTTTTTTCCAGGATGACTAACCCAGCTGTGTCCTTTGTGTTGAAGGGAGCTGAGCCCAGAAACCAAAGAGCTGAGAGCGAGACTTCTGGAGCGGAATGGCAGAAGCGAGCGTAAGGCACAGCGCAGTCTGGGCTCCCGTCCAGAAACTTATTTCGCCGCAATGCTCAGACCGCGACAGGATCCATACGCTAAAACGTTTGCAGTTAACTCTGTATTTTCCTCTCTCTCTTTGGTCTGCTAGAATTCCTTCCCGGGCATGCCTCCTTTGCCTTGGACCTCCAGTCCAAAGTTCCTACCTCTGTCCTACTCACAATAAGCCCGAGCCACTCCTTGGAGCCTATCGCCACCATTACAGCAGAAGTGAGTGACAAGCTGGGACTCGTGACAATTATTAAAAAGACATGGAATGAGTTAGCATGTAGCATTAGCCCCTTTCTAACCCTTTGATCAGCCGCCTTGTGATTTCGCATCTCACTGAATGTGAAAGGACATTCCTCACATTCTTGAGGAAGGTTTCCCCGCAGATTCCTTTTCTCTGATCTCTGTGCACAGATAATTGCGAAACGAATTGCTAAACTTATTACTTAATCCACTCAGCTGCTCTATGTGGAAACGGAGGAACTCCGCCCACCACCGCGCTCCTCACTCACCCCCACCAAAAAAGTCGACGTGGACCGAACCATCATGCCGGACGGAACCATCGTCACCACTGTAACGACGGTCCAATCCAGACTGAAATTGCAGCGCAGTCCAGGTACATTTGAAGCATGAATGACTTTGTTGGTGAACAACGCCTTTACCTGAGTTCATCACCTGTAGGTGATTCTCCTTTGCGTTCGCCGGCCAAAGTGGAGGTGACAGAGAAGAAGCCCACCGTTCTCTCTGATGGAAGAGGCACCCCGAACCCTGATCCCAGCAGTGAGTTAGAAACCACGAGGCCAAACAGCACCTGGACAAAAGTATTGGGATGAGCCTCTTAATGAAACCATGAAGAAAAAAAAAAAAAAACACTTTTTGGGGAAGAATTAGAACAGAGATTGTCCACAGTGCCGGTCAAGCATCAGTAAATTGACACAGACTCATTCCAGAATCTTGTAGGGTAGTAATAGTCCTGCACTTGTGTAATGGTTGTGTGTCACAGTCCTTTTGTCAATGCGCTGCATTGAAAAACACAGTAGAACTCTCTATAGGCAATCAGCAGCTGTATAACAGGAACATGGTGCAGATCAACACCCCCCACCCCCAAAAAATGCTGATTTTATATTTGTGTGTTGTTGCATAGAGGCCAGCCGCTTATCTAATGGCTTGGATCCTGTTGCAGAAACAGCCATTCGTCAACTGACTGACTCCAAAGTGGCTCGAAAGACTCCGACAAAGAGAAGCACACTGATCATCTCGGGCGTGTCAAAGGTCAGAGAATTAAGAGTTGTAATGAGAGATAGAAGGTAGTAAAAACGGAACCAAATACGGATTTATATTTCGTCATATCTTCATTTCAGGGGTAGAATTGAAGGAGCTGTTTAACGAAGGATGTCACCGATTTTTTAGGCCAGCATCCTGACGAGATATTTAAAGTCAAGAAAATATGTTTTGTTAAAATATGACGCAGACCATCATTTTACGAGATTGACGGTATACACACACCTAAATTTAAGTGTCAGTCTCAGCTACCACACTGCAGACCCCCTCCGAGCACGTTCAGGTCACATTACAGCAGTCTTGTGACCTGATTTCGAAGCGAAAGAGAAACGTTTCCACTTCAAGAGGCTGCAGTGGTAACCTGACACATTTGAAGACAGTGCAGATGATGACAGTCAATGCCTTAAATGTTGATATTTTTAACTATGTGAAGCACATGGGGTCTAAAATGCGCTATCCCAATAAAAGCATACCACAAGTTGGATGGTGGCGACGCAACAGGAAAACTTGAAATCGACTCCTTTGACTTCTCAGGTTCCACTGTGTCAAGATGACTGCACGCTGTCAAGCGGCTACGCCGCAGCAATGGACGCGGCCATGCAAAGCAACCATTTTGGGGCGCGGCACCACCAAGAGCCGGATGAAACCACACCTTCTGATGTGTCAGAGCGTCCCTCTGTGGATGATGTGGAATCAGACACTGGCTCCACTGGTGCTTTCGAAACACGCAGCCTCAAGGACCATAAAGGTGACATAATGACACTGTCATGTCAAATCAATGTAACGGAAATGTTGTCTTTTTAGAGCTGATTGTTTTATTGTTAGTTTCTGGTTTTACCGATTTATTCTTTGTAGCACTGTCATGGGTACAAAATAAGATATCTTACTGCCACCTGTTGGCTAGTACTAAAAAAAGCATCACAACACAGCAATTTACTGATCTGAGGTTAGGGGTTCGAATCTTAGCTAGTAGAAATTGGATGGGTTGATATCTGATGCGGTATTCTCTACATCCCATAGTGGGATTCCTGCAGAGCGGATCAAAGCTGTTGTTCCGCAAAAGACATCGTGAGAAGGAGCCCTGCCTCAGCCAGTCCCACGAGGACGTCTCCAAAATGGGCAACAACTTCACCGCGGCAGCGGACAGCGGTCGAAAGAAGTCCGCTAGCTTCTCGCGACGTCTCATCAAGCGCTTCTCTTTCCGCTCATCGGGGAAATGGAAAGGCAAAGGCACAAGCACCAACGGAGGGGCGGGCTCAGCCAATAACTGATCCTTTCTGCTTGCATCCCAGTCAGCTGTCTGAGCACAAGACTATTCCATCCCAGTCTGATGGATGACACCTCTGCAAGTGCTTTGGGGAGGGGAGAAATTTTGCTGCTTCAGGACAAAACTGGTTCTGTATCAAATGGCTCTAGCTGAAATAGGATTGCATATTTTGTTTTGAGGGTAATTTTTTTTCAGGATGGGACAACGGAACAGCTGCAATGAATTTGGGGTTTATTTTTGATTGACTGATGTCGGGAGTTCTTGAAATGATTTTAAGAATGCCAGAAGAATGGCATTGGTGCACTTTGGAATTGACATTTTTTTTACATTCTATATAACACGTACAATATCTGTATGAAGGTAATTTATGATTATGTGAAGTGCTATTTATTTTATCCATATCACGGGTTGTCTTTGTTGCGTTACACTGTCAAATAGAGAAATTGCTGTGATTTTTCAAAGCAAATGTTATTTTAACATCAAGTTGAATTCCATGTTCATAGAAAATTTGCCGTATTTGCTTCTACATTAAATTAAGAAATTGTTCAATGTAGGTTTTAAAATAAGCAGGAAATTGTTGTATATTGTACTTTTTTGACAACGTAATTGCTCTTAAATGATCTTCGGTTTGCCCAAATGTTTCCGTAAGAGGCAAGAAAGCAGACTTATGTTGCCAATAATTCACACTTATTGAAAAAAATGATTTTTTAAAAATGTAATTTCCAGGACTATTTTTCAACAACAAAATTCCTATTAGAGTACAGTGATATGATGTATACAATGTGCTTTAAGAAACTAGGATCAACCTTAATCGCTGTTTAAGACAAATTAGCCTGGCTGGAATGTGAAACCCGAAGTGGAGGCAGTAACATGTGGCATGTGTGATTTCTGACTTTATTTTGATATGTTTTAATTTATTTCAAATAAATTATTGAAAAGCTTCTCTGCATTCAGACATCGTTCTTCCTGTTGCATACTCGGTGTAACAATTCTTGAGAGGAAATGCAAAAAACGACCAGTTTTACACTTCTAACAAGCGAGCAAGTGGCGAATGTAGTGTCTCATAGTTCACGTATCCTGCATTAATTGGCCTACGAATATCCCCCCCACCCTCACCTAACCCCAAACTGCATATCTTACTGCATGTCATGAATACTTACGATCGTTGCTCCATTTTCCACCACTCAGCTTCAAGACGCCCGTTTTGATTGCTTCTTGAGCGCCAAAATTTTGAAACGAGAGGGAATAGCTACCATTGGCTACAAATTCCACGTGACACGGATGACCCAATCGTTTTCCTTCCTTCTGCGATTGGTGGGACATCAAATAGATGACACCAATCGCTGCTGGTTTTCTTTTTTTCTTTCATTCCTTCAAGCCAACCACATGACACTTTGTCGTCATAGAAGCCAATCGCGTAAAAGGGCGTGACAACCCTGGACTTTTATATTCGAGTAATGCAAGGTTCTTTCCAGTACTGAACTGAAATTAATAAGGACTATCCTGCGTGTAAATAAAAGAAATCATAAATATGTCTGGAAGAGGCAAAGGCGCCAGCAAGGCCCGCGCGAAAGCTAGGACCCGGAGTAACCGGGCAGGTCTCCAGTTCCCGGTCGGTCGAGTCCACCGTCTTCTCCGCAGAGGCAACTACGCAGAGCGTGTTGGTGCCGGTGCCCCAGTCTACTTGGCCGCCGTGCTGGAATATCTCACCGCCGAGATCCTCGAGTTGGCTGGTAACGCCGCCCGGGACAACAAGAAGACTCGCATCATTCCTCGCCACCTTCAGTTGGCGGTACGCAACGACGAAGAGCTGAATAAACTTCTTGGCGGCGTCACCATCGCCCAGGGCGGTGTCCTGCCCAACATCCAGGCCGTCCTGCTGCCTAAGAAGACTGGACAGTCTGCTCCGAGCTCCGGCAAGGGGGGGAAGAAGGCTTCCTCGCAGTCTCAAGAATATTAGCCACATGGCTAGTAACTTTTATCCCAACGGCCCTTTTCAGGGCCACCCAAGCTACATCGAAAGAGCACATTTCCTTTGTGTGTCTTCGTCACTTTTTTTCCTTAATAAATTGTTTTGCTAATGACGAGCGCATGTAGGCTGCCATTATCGGCTAACCAAGAGGCACTGGTTTCGACTGTAGCTTAGCATTTCCGAGTGAACCGGCACATAGGTTTACCGGCCACTAAGCAGTTTTAAATGCCGTTTATATTCTCGACGTCCAAATATAAAATGAACACATTACGGCCCAAATCGATTTTAGTAGCTCTTTTACTACGTCGGAGAGTAGCCCAGGCCTCGTATGCACCGGTAAGCTAGCTCCATTTTCTACCTCCTTGACAACATTTGAAAACAATGCTCCTTTTTTTGCTTAATTTAGGCGCCTGTTGCTGCCGAGCTGATTAAAATGGCCAACACTATGCAAGCACGATCTAGTAGCCTTTGACAGTAAACGTTACTTATAAACTCAGTTGCCGAAAACTTTGGTGTTCCTCTACGTTGCATTTTTGTGTGCCCTGTAATTCATGATCAGGGGGGGGGGGTAGGAAGTCCCTTTTCTGCACCATAAAGACTCATAACTATGAGGAATACATAAATATGAGGGAAATGATGCACAGAGGATGTATTTTCGGCGAGTTTGCAGTCTCATTCCCAACTCTGGCTTTAGAATACAAAAAAATGCACGAATACACTCACTGTGTCGAGTAAGTCCTAAAAAACTGCTGTATTTCAAAGCAGCTTCATAAATAATACATTGATTTACTGTCAACTAAAAAAAAAAAAAAAACTTCAAACAAGTGATGGCAAAATAGATCTGACGCACCAAATCAGGTGGACTAAATTATTTGGTTCAGTTATAGTGCCCCCTCCAGGCGAAAATCAAGACTGCAGTTGAAAATCTTTGAAGCACGTACATAGCACTCGAGCATACTAAAACCGTGGTAGTAGGTATTTTCACTGATGGCGGCGCTGACACGAAACATAAGGTCCGACAGAACTACTCAGCTCAGTGAGACTGGCTTTATGTAGCCCCCTGTCATGACGTAGATGACCGGGGTCTACGTATCATAAAGTGAGGCGGAATCCTATGCTGGGCAAATGCCGGCCGGGACTTTCCTGTTGCTCTGCCAGTAGACTTCCGGGTGTTGACAATTCCGGGCTTACGTCACAAGTTTAAATGTCGGCCAGGTCGATGAAACCAAAACTACGTTCATTCAAAACCATTGGACTTTGCCTCGTTATTCAGTTTCTGAGGATTATATTGATTAGAAAAATTGTTGACATGTTGTTTGAGTACTACAACATTCTGCCCGGTCTTGCAAAAATTCGATATGAACAGAAATTGGACTTAACTGAAATATGGGGACCTGTTCACCCAAAAGATGATCACGGAACAAATTACAGTCATATCTGAAGGGACCGCTGTATCTGAAAAAAAAAAATGCTCAAGTACAGTAGTAAAATACTTCATTACTCCCACACACTGCTACTTTATAAAACCTATGACGGAGTTTGGCGTCGGAAATAGGACAAAGCAGCGACACGTTGGTATGTGGCAGCCGCATGTGCTGCATTTAGACTCTGACACACACATGCACACACACAGGCAGGAATGTTGCTGGAACTTTCGGCTGCGTGTATATAAGCGGCAGGGATGCCCCAACGCCAGACACTCCAGACCCCAAGCTGTGAGGATCAAGAAGCAAGAGCAAGCAGAATGTTGTGCCCCACCGTCTTCCAGCCATCCGCCGCTCTGAGACCCTTCATGGACACTCACTGGCCAATCCGCAGCCTGTGGCCAGAGACCAGGCCTCTCTTCTACCACATCGAGCAGGAGATGCTGCGCCACATGCAGGAAATGAGGCAGAACATGGAGTACATGGAGAGGTTGCACCAAAAGATCTTCGAGGAGATCGACCACACGCCGGCGACGGCCACCTTCAGGCCCATCGCCTTCCATGAGCTGAGGCCTGAGGGAGGAAGCTTTGCGCTCAGCCTGGACACCCAGGAGTTCTCCCCAGAGGAGCTGTCCGTGAAGCAGGTGGGCCGGAAGCTAAGGGTGAGCGGGAAGACGGAGAAGAAGCAGGAGGATGGCAAAGGCTCGTACTCCTACAGATGTCAAGAGTTCAGGCAGGAGCTGGACCTGCCGGACGGCGTGGACCCCGAGACGATCACCTGCTCGCTGGTGGGGGGGCGGCTGCAGATCCAGGCGCCGCGAGAGAAAGCGGCCGGGGACGGGAAGGAGCGAGTGGTGCCCATCAACGTCGCCCCGGCGCCGGCCATCGCAGCGGCCGCAACGCCGTCCGCCGAGGTCAACGACTCCTCAACTCTTGAGAACTGACACGCTGAGACCTGGAGTAATGTGATGGACAGAACATGCTTTGGAACAAGCCTTGTATTTCTGATGTTTTAGCCAGTAATTATGAATCATGTCAACTCAAAAAAAAAAAAAAATGAGCACTGAGTCACATTCTATTTCCAACAATGATGGACGATGCCGTGGAGAACATTCTTTTCAGGCATGCCACAGCACTGTAAAGCTATTTATAAATGTGGCCTTCATTAGGGCAACAAACAAAGTGTTTTTTTGTCATTTTACGATAGAATATAAGTTCTTGTGTTTTCTGAAACCCACATTCATAATTTAATACAATGTAAAGAAATAAACAGTTTGTGTGTCATGAATTAACACTGCAATTCTTTTCATTGTGCCGCTCCTTCTGACGTGTCATGCAACCAAACGAAGAACGCTATTTCTATTACTGTGACTCAGTAATATTAGTCATTTCAGTACATGAGAAAGAAGTTTTTTATTTAACCTTCAACCAGGTATAATTGTGAGCTGCAAAATGAATTTTCAAAAGTGACCGAGCTAAGGGGGCAGCGGAAATTTTACGCTACACAACATAAACATTTCTATGATTAATACAAAAAAACCTCACTAAGACGTTTAAAAAAAAAATAGTGTGCCGTCTAATATAAGATGTGCCTCTGAATATGATATTCATCTACATGTGTTGCTCCACCATTTGTTGACTACCTGTGCTAACCGTTAGCATGTCAGCATGTTTTACACACAGACCCACACATTAAAAAAACAATTTCCCCCCCCCCACTGAGTCCTCGGTTACCGATGACAACAAACGTGACACACATGTTCATTGTAAAATAATTCTCAATAATTTATTCACAAACTTCATTTCAAATTGCCATGTTGTCATTTCATTTTTGAAAACACATACAATAATAATAATAATAATATTAAAAGACGTCTCTCTACTAACTTGTTCATCATCGCTCATTGTCCATCGTGCTCAAGCGTCCCATTTTGGCGTTGATGACCTGCTCGGATGCCCGATCAGAAATATGAAGAAAACAAAACAAATCCTCGCAAATGAACTGAAGGACTTAAAATTTGGACAGCTACAGAAACACGCTTCCTTTTTCGAGACCATGTTTTTTTTTTTCCCCTCCATTATCACATTTTGATTTACAGAATGTTTTATTAAGGCTCATGTTGGGCAATGTGGAGCAATTGACTGAGAGGAGTGACATTGACAGGTAAAGTGTTTGTTTGTGTGTCTAATGGGACGCTGTGTGTACAAGATACTAATACTTTCCGAGATGTGAAAATTTAGAATCAAAAAGCCACACATGGAACAATAATCTCCAATACAGTCGTCCAAATGGATCATCCCAACAATTAATCTTTGTGATTGTCCTTCGGGTTGTCTAATAATAGTTGATGAACCTTTTCTTAAGTGTCAATGCTCATTTGTAACACACACACACACAGGAAAGTATGAACACTCGGGTACACAGCATCAGTGGCTACTTGGGAGGAATAGGATGACGCAACACAGATTCGAGGCGCACCTGAACACATCGCCGCGTGTATATGGGTCAACATCTGATTGCCCCGCCCCTGCCCCCCCCATGTCCTTCCCCCACACACACTTATTAGCGGAAAATGTGTTGATCCTTCCATGAATGAACTATTTGTAGGCTCAGTTCAGATAAACTAGTTCCAAACGTGGCGTAATGACCACTGAGTGTAATTTTGAGATGCTTGCATTGTAGAAAACTTGGACTTTTGGCTTATATACAGTGCGATGCAAAATGCAATTTCGATATTGTTTCTCGTCTTAAGTGCTCAATAGATTTACCGGGCCGGTGATTCTCCAAGTGTTGTAAGCAGGCACTCTCTCGTACAACTCAATTTTGAAAAAGGGGCCAACATGGGAAACTGAAGCCAAAATTCTACATCACAGATCTTCACCTATAACAGGTTGTTCTGGAACCGTTATCTCTCCCATGTGACAAGATGTATCATGGCTAGCGACATTTTTTTAAAATCTCCTGACTTAACAATATAAATATTCGCTTCACTCAAGTGCTACATGAAATGTCCTACTTCTTAGCAGTCTGGAACGCGGCGTGAAAGCAAAAAAGTTCTAATTTGTCTGACCTGAGCCTTTAGGAACAATGACCGGCTGCTCCTCCGCTATGTAGCAAGCATGATGGCGGCCCAGCGATGTTTCAGGTGGACGCCGCGGCGTGTCAGGCGAGTGGTCTGTCAGGAGACTCGGCAGCTGCGGAAGACGAGGGAACGCAGAAGACACACCGGGCAGTCAAAATCTGGCGTCGGACCGCCAATGGCCGCTCCCTCTCCGTTTGTTTGGTCTTCACGAGGAAGGTTTTCCAACAGCGCGGGAGGAGACTTTCCAGCAAGTAGTCACATCATCACTGTTGACGTCAATCAGCTTTGATTTACCGCAGCTCGTCCAATGAGAGGTGATCCTGAGAGCCTCGCTGATTGGTGGCACGGTGGGCGGGACTGTTCGAATTTAAAATAAAAGCAATCCAATCTAAAAACAAAACAAAATAAACCTGGTCGGCCTTCCATTTACAAACGCGTCAGTTTTCTTCGATTAAATTCAAGTCCAGTTCTGTACAATCCCTCTCGAATACGGCCTGCTGCTGTTGCTGCGTCGCCTCGCGCTCATCGACGTCTTCGTCTTCCTCGCCGTCGTCGTCGTCGTCGTCGTCGTCCTCGCGGCACTCCTCGTCGCTCTCGCTCAGCGGGCCGATGCTAGACCTGCCCAGACACTCGGCCGGCGAGCAGGAGCCACGGAAGTCGCCCAAGAACGATTCCATGCCGATGAAGAGGTCGCCGCCGCAGGCCAGCCTGCCGCCGCGCTCCAAATACTGCGGGTCGATGCTGCGGGTCTGCGGGATGAGTTGAGGACAAATGTTTTTTTTTTTTTTTTTTTTTTTTTACAAAAAAAAAATAAATACAAAAATTTCACACAGAGACCCTGCAAAAATCGCAGCCGGTAACGAACCACCTTTTGCCTTTGACACCGAAGCAGCTCTGTCCTTACGACTTACTGACGTAACACTCGTACCTGAGTCATCTTGGTGAAGTCGAGGACGGGGCGGGCGCAGGGTCGGTCGGGGTCGCGGCGTCTCTTCAACCCGGGCTTGAGCAGCAGAAGGTCGCAGGGCTGCGAGTGGCACCGCGGTAGCTGCGGGGGCAGGCTGCGGCGCAAGGACGAAGGCGTGCTGCACGCCGAAGAGTGGAGGCGCCGTCGCTTGGCTGGGAATGGGAGGCGGTGGCAGGAAGGCGGCGGCCGCCGAGTCTCTGATGAGCACGGGCGAGAGGGAGAAACGGCGCTGGGGAGGCGGCGGCGGGTGAAGAGGCGAGGGCGACGAGGAGCAGGAGGACGGCGAGGGGAAGAAACAGCAACAGGCGCCGCCCCCCGCCGCGGCCTCGCTGGGATCCCAGGGGAAGTTCCAGGGCAGCGGCGAGTCGGGAGAAAGTGCCAGGCTGAAGAAGGTGGGACTGGATGATGAGTGCAGAGATGAGTTCAGAGAGGAGCTCGGGGCGCGCAGCGGACAGGCACCGCCTGCCGCCGCCACGCCCGCCACCCCGGCGCCGCCCACTCCTCCGTGGCATTGCTGGCGACTGACGGGAGTCCAGACCCGCGAAGCGCTGGGCCGCCACGTGTAGCGGCAGCGCGACAGGTCCTCCGGGACCGACAGAGAGCGGCAGTGGCGTTTGGATGGCGGGGGAGGAGGGGGCGGCGGGGCCGGGCCGGGAGGGGCGGCCGCCCCCGGGAGGGAGAGCTCGGACGCCGAAGTGCTGGGCGCCAGAGGCCGGTGCTGCTGCGGCTGAGAGGGAGGGTCGTCCAGGGGGTCGCCCCCCTCCTGAAGGTGAGCATCGGGTGGCACCAGGGGGACGGGGCCGGGGGGGAAACTAGAGCTCAGCAACCCCCCCTGCAGGCTGGACTTAGAGGGAGGGCAGAGCTGCCAGTAGCTGCTCTCTGAGGACGTACACACAGAGCATTTACACACAGCTCATATGGCCTTTTTTTTTTTTAATCAAGGACTGTTTATATTCCACAAAAAAAGAAAAATAACTTTATCACCAGAAAAAAAAGGAGCAAACTTTTTGGAAAATAAACATGCAATATTAGTTATTATTATTCTCTTTGGACCACAACTTTAAAGAAAAAATATTAAGACTACCATCTCAAAATTAAAGAAGAAAACAAATACCCTCTAAATTATGATTCTTCATGACTTAATTTTCTTACTAGAAAAAAAACCATGCATGAAAAAAAATGACGTTGTCACTTCCTTCATTGTATTACTTTTTATTCTAAAAAACTTGGTATAAATTCAATTTCTTGTTTCCAGTGTGGACCTATTCCCACTCGATAACAATCACACCCTTATTGAAGGAATTAAGGACACTCACCAGGCATCAAGCCATCTGGGGGCCAGCACTCCGCGAGGTTTTTCGGGTCCAGCAGGGACTAAGAGAGAAAAAAACAAAAACTGAAATAATCTAGCTAATAATACAGTTCTGCATTGAAAAACACTATTTCATCAATATCACATCCCGCATTCAGTTTCCGTAAGGACAGCGCTCTCGTGTTTGTGTGCATTGACAATGGCAATCAAGCGATCGGACTTTGAAGAAAGTCGAACAGCGCTATTTAAAATGCAATCCATTTATCTTTTCCAAATGACACGACATCAAAGTTCACTCGTTGCGGAGTGTCTTTTGATGTTGACGGCTAAAAAGACTGATGAAGGGAAGAAGATGACGACGTTTGGAGTTTGCGCCTTTTGAGACGCACGGATTTGTTTTTAAACATCCAACACAATTATTCCGTTGATCACCTTGGTTTGATGTTAAAAGTCTGGGGGTATGTTTCGCATTTAAGTGGAACTGACCCGCCACCACTCACCAAGTCCGAGTCCCCCGGCTGAGCAGGGTCGCCTTCCAGACTTCCTCACGTTCTCCACCAGCAAGGCGACCACGTCATGGTGGCGGAGGAGGAGGAGGAGGAGGGAGGGAGGGGATGGAGGAATGGGAGAAAGAGGAGTGAGGTGGGAGTCACGCCCACTTGTGTGTCTCTTATCACTTTGAGGGGAGGGGCTAACAGCTGCAGACTCCTCCTCCTTGCACCAAGGGCCAGGTAGCCCCGCCCACCCTCAAAAGGACAGCATGACCAAGTCGAGTCCACCTGTGGCCTCAAGAACCTGCCTGCAAGGGTGGAAGTGGTCAAGTTCATTCAAATGTTCACAACACACAAGTACAACAACTCGGGCGCACTAGTAGAAGGACGAACTGTCATACTAGTGAGGGATTTGTTTTACTGTTTGACATTTCTGTCCACTGGTAGAACAACTCGGGCGCTCTAGTAAAATGATTGTCTTACTTTAGATGTTTTTTTACGCGAGTGACATTCTGCACACTAGTTGAGTGACTTGGTCATGAGTAAACAACCATTGTGTGCTTGCAGAATAACTATTGAGGTTTACTGGTAAAATGTTTCCACTACTACCTTCCATTCCAGTCTATTTCAGTACACTAGTAGAACTACATAGTGGTAGACTCCTTGTCTTATGTGTGTGTTACCAGTCGTTCAATGTGTTCCGCATTCAACAAATTTAAATCAGATTTTTGTTGCACTGTTTTAAATTTTTATTTTTTTTTAAACAAACGGTGACTTTAGGTTGCATGTATGATTGTGACATCCAATGGCGATTCCTCGCACAACTTGCATTAATCGCTTAAGCATTGTTTGCAAATAATTAAAATTCAGTTTGTGTTTGACAGGTCCATAAAATGACCTTTTATATACATACTGTATATTTATGTATCATATATTTATAGATTACTTACACAGTTGAATATATTTATCAATAACAGGCTATTGTGTATATTTATGTGAAATAACGAGTGATATTGTGTACAACTGCTGCAAATACTTAGGGTACAAGATGTAAAAATAATCTGCATTCATAACTTTGCTGCTGTGAATTGGGAATTTCTCCATTGCGAGACTAATAAAGGTTCTCTTATCTTATCTTATCTTATCAAATATCAACCATTTGTCTGATGTTTGAAGGGTCATAATCCAGTCGCTCGATTTTTAATCTGCCGGCCCTCATTTTTTTCCACAACTGTATGACAAATATGCACACTAGAACAACTATATCCCACTATTATTACTAGTGTTTTTTCAACAACAGTATGACATTTGTACGCGCGAGTAGAACGATGAGGGTGCACCAATAGAATGACTATCTTCTTAAGTGACATTTTTTGTTTTTGTGCGTACAGTACTCACAGAACGACTACAGTGCATTAGTAGAACAAGTACAAGAGACTAGTTCGAAAAACTCTGCACTACTTGAAAACTGCTAGACAAGTATACTGTCATAAATTCATAAGATTCTACATCGAGTGCTTCATTAGTCGTACAGTACTTGTAGAGAATGAGACGGAGAAAACAAGCACCAGGAGAACGTCCAAAACAGATTTGAACCCCCACCCTCAGAACTTTGAGGCTGATGCGCCGCCCTCGTTTCACATATAAAGAGATAAAATCAGTGTTGCCCAACACTTGCTATGTGTTTGTTTGCTGAGATTTAATTGAGAATACCAAAAGCAATGAGGCCGCCGCAGCTAGCTCGATGCTAACCCTTCCCATTGTTTTCAACGGAGGATGCTACCTCTTGCCAATTGTCGTTCACAGGAACGTAAACGGGACGGTGTCATTTTGAGCTTTTTCTTAAACGCTGCACGGGAGAAGGCGATTCATAATGGAGATGATTCGCGTGGATTTTTAAAGGCGTAGTACGACGTTGGTTAGTGATCGCACACACACACACACACACACACACACACACATGCACAGGCACACGCACGCACACACTCACACACACACACACACCTGAGCAGCCCGCTAGCTATAAATAACATGTCATCTCGTTAGAACTTTCAAGGTCGACGCTGGATTACATTCGCCCGCTAAACTGCTAGAAAACATGCCGACGAGCTGCGATTTGCTGCCTGCCACACACGCCCCAGCCGGCCGCTGCACTGCGGGACTAGCAAGGCAGCCCAACCGGCCGCTAAGCAAAGCGAGCCCCGCACCAAGCTAGCAGCGGTTAGCCGCAACTGTAAATATCCGACGGGGACGTTCCCATCCACCGTCGGAGAGCTCTGCCTTTTCCCGTGTAAATAAAAACCAAAGAGTCACAATTAACATCCCCTCTGATGTCATTTCACGTATATTTGGTTTAAGATGGTAGCTGGAAAGAGGAGGACAACACGACGGGATGCTGCGGGATGGATATGTCCGGGCTTGTTAGCTCCCCCTCCCCTCCATCACCACCACCTCCACCCTCCTCTCACCCCAGACGGAACCGCAAAACAAGCGGGCACGTTGTACACTCACGGCCGCATCGACGGATGGATGGCAGACTTACCTCGTCGGAGAGCCCCCTCTCCGGGTGCATCGGTCAGCCCCCTCGGTTACTCGGCGTATTGACCCAACGTGATTACGGAGGCGAACGCACCGCTACAACCCGCCGCTGCCACCGCCACCACCGCCGCCGCCGCCGCCGCCGAGCTCAGCATCCAAAAAGCAGCCACCGCAATGAATTATCGTCTGTGCACGCGTGGCACGGAGAAAATCGTCGCCCCCTGTACGATCGACGCCCGGTGTCGTCCGATTATTTAAAACATAACGATACAGATTTGTACGTGCACACGAGCGGCGAGGCATTCATAAATAACATTTACGGTGGCAGTGAGGAGGGAGGGGGGGGAGGGGCGGGATTACACATCACCCCCCCTTCCTCACTAGCATCACATGCCATTTATTTACATTTTTTTTAAACTGTTGTATATCAAATGCCCGCTGAACCAAACAAAATATGACAATCATTTTTATTGGCTAAGGATTGACTCGGTTGGAGCCTCTCTACTACTGTACACAAAATAAAAGTACACTATGTCGAGTAAGGTGATAGTGTAGAAAGAGTGCAATTTAAAACTGAGCAAATGTGTACATGATGCACCATACTGCAAGCCACTGTAACATTTACAATTTGACCACTGACATTGTTATGTAAAAAGTTACACTGCAGTTAAAATATACTGGTCTGGATTTAAAAGAAAAAATTCTGACAGCTTGTGTGCAAAGCAACAAGTTTCAGGTTTATTGTAGGTCATGTTTTAAATGTAAATTGTATTGACATTAAATTCAGTGATTCTTTCAGGTAGCACAGAGAATCTATTAAGTACTCAGTAGTACAGTCATAATGGGAAAACTGTTCAAATGATGCAGATACATGATGCTGTACATCTTTTGAAATCTAGCTTCAATGACTTCCAGCTACTGTGTGAGCGCAACAGATTTAAATAAAAGAAAACAAACGACATCTATTTCAACACTTTATTTACATCTTTATTAGTTTCAGCTTTGCTTTCAGTATTTAAAGCAGCATACGTTACATAACAAATAAAAAGGAAAAAAAAGATGGTGAAGGGACCCTTATCAGAACAGAGGTGAACGTGGACAAAAATGAAAAAAACAAAACCAGTAGCCTCTACAGAGGCCAGAAAGTGACAGCAAAAAGAAACAGTGACTTTAAATACAAAGTTTAGCAACTTTGTGTGTACCTCGAGAACACAGCGCGGGTGACAAAGTGCAATTAACACAAAAGTGCAAATGATAGAAAACTGCTCAGGTCAAAGTGCCAAGTCGACCTCCGTCAGATACCAGGATGCATTACTCATCTGTTCTGTCCAGGGCTGAAAATGAACAAAAAAAAACAAAAAACACCCCTCGCCTCTCTTATTTTATAACAAATCCTCAGTGTTCTTAAAAAGCCAAACATTGGAAACACACACAGAGAAGATTAAAGTCCACACAACGTAATTCAGCATCTTGACGATGAACTTGCTCAGTGACCTAACCAGGCTCGTTGCAGCAAGGGACGATCAGTAGTGATTCCATAAGAACTGGTCTGAAACCGTAGGGACCCGTTGATCATCAGCATTGAAATCTACAAGGAAACAAAATGCTAAGAAAGAAAGAAAGAAAGCTTTGCTTTTCTCTCTCGCTCAATCCCACAATCGTGACAAAAGCACATACTACTGCCAGCAAGAAGCACCGTCCACTCCAGTGACATATTCATTTACTCTTCCGTGCGTTTTTTTGTGCTCTCACCTCCTGCGTGCTCATCCTCGAGCTGGAGCCAGTCGGCCATGTTGTTTTTGGTCAGCTGAATCCTGAAAGAGCAGCTGAGGCCAGGGGGAGAGCGAGGAGGTAGGCGGCTCCTCTCAGGCTCCTGGGGGCAAGCGTTGGGGACATTTGGAGAAGCAGGTTGGATCGACGTGGACAAATACTGTACATCACTCATAGAAAATTAGGGGTAATATCCTTCCGGGGTAAAATTTCTGGATTCATCTAAAATTCACTACAACACACCGGAAAAAAATTCAAACATCTCCAGAATTCTGAATGCATGTTTCCAACACTGAAAAAAAGGATTTTTTAAAAAGTCCTTTGATTTTACCATGTTAATTAATTGCATGATTGAAATGTGGCATTAAGAATGACATTTATTAGAGAACAGCGAGTTGTGCAAAATTAAGTTAAATAACAGTCGGGCGAACATTCAAAAAAGGTCAAATCAACTTCTGTGAATTGTAATTAATTTTAGGTTCATCCTGAAATCACCCCCCCCCCCCACACACAATCTGAACGCATGACATTACCGGAGACAGTGGAACATTCCAGGCGCCAGGCAGCTCCGGCGACATGTCGGCTGACAGGGGAGACACAGAGGAGGCCTTCGGGGCCGCCAGGGTCTCCTTCTCTCTCTGCTTCTCTCCTCCATCGTCACACAAGTCAGAGGTCATCTTTGCCAGCTGGTTCTGCCTGCCAGAATGCCATTTCACAGCCAAAACTAAAAATACAGCGACCACCACCTGAATACCGCGCAGTTGATGCGGTCGGCGTGGCGCTCAAATCTCACTTGAGCTCTACCTACAGTTGCTCCACGGGGTCAAGAGCGAGGTCGCAGGTGTCCGACGGGGCGTCGCTCGGCGGGTCCCACTGGTGCAGTGCTCGTCGCCAAATACGAACCTGCATGTCCCAGGAGCGCCTGCTGTACTTCCTGTACTTGTTGGGGGTGGATGGGTGGAGCTTCGGGTCTCTCATGTGTCTGAGCGAGGGAGGTTTGATATTCTCTCATTGTGAGACAAAAACTAAGAAGTATGCAAATCACAGTACTCTGTTGCATAAATTGGCTACAGGTGGATATGCAAGAATAATCTTCAAACTCAACTTTGGACCCGTGATAACGTAGGCCTTACTTGGGGACTTGCTGCAGGTAGTTCTGGTAGCCACTCGTGTTCTTGCCGTAGAGAATTTGCTTCTGTCGGCGCTTGAGAACCGCAGCATTAGTCTCCGTGTTGTTTGGGTCTGGGATGCGAGGGTAGCAGCGAGTGAGCGAAGCCCTGCTGAGATGGAGAAAAAACAAAAAATGTAAGCGCTTTGACAGTAGGAAGCCGTGACGTGAATCAAACCTCTTGTCCAGATCTTCCGTTCCCACGGCAACGCTGCTGGTGGCCACTTTGAGAATGCAACGCTCCAAGATGGACGTCCTGGACCCCATAAAAGTGCAAAATATACTTCGGAAAATTCTACAGCTGCAACCCTGAAGATTATAATCCAATTAAACCTGCGTGGTTTGCTGCTGGCAGATCTCTCCCCTCCTCGCGGGCTGACTGTCGCTGGAGACATCGGCATGGGAGAGACGTTACTGCAACCAGGGCAGGAAGAGTCAAGTTTTGAAATCTCAAAAAGGAACTGTGTGTCGGTTTCTGACTACAGGTCATTTGTGTTTTACTACACAATGTTTAATCCTCAGATTGTCATTTTTTTCAGTAGTATTCCACTGGGAATGTATGAAATAGGTAGAAAAAGTCTACACAACTGTGTTCGGATTCTGTTTTTGTTATATGGAAAGAAATGAGTCAGATAAAAAAAAATGCTGATACTTTTCCTTTAACAGCATTTCAATTGGGAAAATTTATTTCATATTTAAATAAATTTAGTTCGTAATTCTAAAAGGCACAAGTGTACATATTCACCTGACGAGGCTGTCAAAGACTGAACTGCAGCCAGGGAGGAGCCAAGGCTCGGGGGCAGAAGAGCAACCAGCAGCCACAAGTGGTTCGGGGAGGCCGTTCCACATGGCCGTCGACCAGCCCTTTGCACAAATGCATGACCGCGGGCTGAAACAGAAACTGGGAACAGAAGTCAAGTCAGAGCAGCCGCTCCTAAAATCAAAACGTGCAATTTCCCGAAAAGAGAGACATTCACAGTTCCAACTTTGATCATCTCAAAACCATCCTGCCATACTTCCGTTTGCAAAGACCAACCGGAGACTTTAGGGGTGTTCACACGGCACACATTTGCTCCGGCGCTGCACCGATGTATTTTGTTGCGATATATCTTACACAACAGAGGAACAAACTACACAAACAACTCCGAGACAGTCCAGTCTCCTACAAAAGGAAAGATGACGGAAGTACAACAGAGCACGAAAGCAACGCATTCTAGCCGTATGTAATCAACTCTTCTCATGCATAGCGAGGCTACTCCCCCCGCAAATGAGCATTTGCTCCGGAGCAAATTTTTAACCCTTTAGCGTTCACACGCACCATTTTACATCGGTGCCGCCCCGCAAACGAGCATTTGCTCCGGAGCAAATTTTTGAACCACCTCCCTGAGCAAGGTTAAATTTGCTCCGGTTTAAGCTGTTTTCAGGGCGTACCCTGGTGTAACTTTGCACGTGTTAACGCTCTATTGGGGTTGCCCGGGCGCAGCACCGGAGCAAAAGTTGCCCTGTGAACACCCCTACCGTTGCGTCATTTTGTCATCTGAGGCAATTTATCTCAAATGGGATGAATTATTACGTCTACGGGCGCAATATAACAGATTTTGCTTTACAGTGAGAGTCAAACAACACATCCACTAATGTAATTAAAATCTTTGTAGCAAGTCTCCACAGAGGACCTCCTGGAGCCATTAAAAATGCAGAGCACTGGAACGGAAATACAAGTAGTCATATTTGTCTTGCTTACAAATGCTTTTCTAGGTCACGCGTCGTCGTCGCACCCGTGTACACATATCTAGTAGGCATTCTTAAAAAAACCTAAAATGATTAGGTTTATCCCCCCTATCTCATGGACAGTTTGCGTTTCAAGTTGAGACTCAACTGTAATGTGGGAGTGTCGGGTGGCCACGTGAGCGCTAACTTTGCCGACGGTTCCGGGTTCTCGTATCCGTGGAGATAAATGAGAGATATATAAATAAGACAGTGTACACAGAGATACGTTACCAACCTGGAGGAGAGCAGTGGGCTCTGGGCCGCAGTTTCCACTCCGCTGCGTGACATGGCAGTTTTGAAAATGGCGCCGTCGCTTTGACACGAACAGGCGCCATGTTACCTTTTCGCAGCGTCTTTAATGAGATGCACCTGCAGAGGGCGTGGCCTGCCGCAGTTTTCAAAACGTTAAAATATAAAAATATCTTAAGTGGGCTGGCGCGCACCATAGTGCCATTTAGAATACAGACTAACATTAACAGGAAAAATAATAGGCTGCATGCGTTCCTATGTTTGTTGTTCCCACCTTTTGTTACATATTGAGACGCCTTGGTGGGGCGCGCAAATTAATAATGTAGTTTTTTTTAATTTACTATGATTTAAAACAATTCACCTATTCTCCAATGCACCAGGTGGCGCCAGCCTCCCCAAATGTAAACACTGACTTCTTCGCAAAGGAAATTGTCGCAAAGATGGCGTCTGGCAGCGGGGTTTGTATTTTTTACACTGCCTTATTTGTATGGTTTACATTCTGACCTGTGATTTGTTAATAAGGACATCAATGTGCCCTTTTTATGGGTGGTGTGTTTTTGTCTCTTGATTTGCGCCTTGATCTGCGTTCTGTCGGCAACTCAAAGAGTGTAAGCCCTTCAGACATACCAGAAACATTTGTACTCAAGATCGAATTAAAATGTTGGCTTTCCGCTTATAGATGCAGTTAGTTGTTACGCCAACAAATAAAGGACAATCGGTAACTCAAGTTCTATCGTACGTATTTGATTAGACTGTTTTGTGATGAATCGCTCTGTAAAACTAAAGATCATCCATTTAATATTATTGTTTGTGATCACTGAGTCTCAACAGCACGAACAGCAACGTTGCTTCGTTCACCGGTTTCACTGTTTTCAAACTTGTACCAGGTATTCTTTTGCCACCTAGTACTGTATAGTAGTTAATTGTGCGACAGGCATAACCTCTAAACGTGTTGCTATATTTTTGTACTGTTCTGTCTGTGCCTGATATGTAACTGACCCCCGTGGTTCTCTTCCAGTCGAGTAAGAATGACTTCCGTCGGAAGTGGGACAAAGACGAATATGAGAATCTTGCTCAGAAGCGTCTCACTGAGGAGCGAGAAAAAGAAAGCAGGGATGGTGAGTTGTCATTTAAAAAAAAAAACTTACATGTAAATAATCCTGACACGTTAGGCGTGAGACACTGCTGTTAAATCAGCAAACTTATATAAACTCATCACCCCCTTAGGGAAAATCGCGCCGCCAATCAAGCGGGAGAATCTCCGTCATCGAGACTACAAAGTGGACTTGGAGTCCAAACTGGGGAAGACCATCGTTATCACCAAGACAACCCCTCAGGCTGAGATGGGCGGGTACGGAGAATTGAATGGCCTCATTGAAGAATGAATTTTTGTATTTATGATTTGGTCCTAGAGATATGGAGACAAAATGGATATATATCATCCAGCTGTTCTATCCTCTTTTCAGCTACTACTGCAACGTTTGTGACTGCGTGGTGAAAGATTCCATCAACTTCCTGGATCACATCAATGGCAAAAAACGTGAGTACTTTTTACACTTAAGTCAGCAGAGGTGGTAAAAGCACCCACTCTGTACTTAAAGTCGAAGTATGGGTTCGGGTGTAAAAAAATAAAATAAAAAGACCGGTATCAGAAGATACCCGAGAAATCTACTTAAGTACAGTAACAAAATGTCGATTCCCACTTCTGTGAGTCAGCTTATTGGGAAAATCTATTGAAGCATGATTTTTGTGAAGCATTTAGGTACATGGGCGTATGTTTGTCTGTGCAGATCAGAGGAACCTCGGCATGTCTATGAGAGTTGAGCGGTCGTCTCTGGACCAGGTGAAGAAGCGCTTCGAGGTGAACAAGAAGAAATTGGAAGAGAAGCAGAAGGAGTACGACTTTGAGGAGCGCATGAAGGAGCTGCGAGAAGAGGTCACGAGAGGCAGAAGTCAATCCATAACGCAAGAATGAGTGAACAAATCTCAAAGTGCATGAATGCCGTCAATAAATTTCCTCTCTTTGTATTATTGTAATACAGTTACATAACCAGAAAATAAATAGGAGAGGAAAGTATGTATGACGGCTCAAAACGTTGTGTCCTAGCAAAGCAATAGGCAAAGAAAATGGATGGACGTTAGTAGATTGTAACATCAATGTGTGTGTGTTTATGTTCAGGAGGAGAAGGCAAAGGCCTACAAGAAGGAGAAACTGAAAGAGAGGAAGCGTCGGGCCGAGGATGACGGGGACTTTGAGGATGATGACGAAATGGCGGCTGTCATGGGTTTCTCAGGGTTCGGGTCTTCTAAAAAGAGTCACTGACACTTCAAGGACATCACGGCCGTCGAGTCAGCAAGTCTGGTGATGCCGTCATGGGAGGAGAGCCCTGAACGGAGGCGCGCGTGAGATGGAAGGACAACTATAGAGTCCTGCTGCGCGGAGTTAGTATTCACCAGTATGTTCAGATTCTCCCCAAAATTATCTTTCTTTTTGGGCCAGTTAGATCCCATCACACCCATATTTTTTTTTTTTTGGCTACTTTGAAAATCCAACTTAAATTGAACAGGGTGTTCATTTGCAGGTGACGCACCCCGGTTCAACAGAAATAAGACCAACATTCTATCAGTTATTGGAATGTTATCACACAATTTTTTTTTCTTCATTAGAAGTCATTCTCACCAAGTTTTTATCCAATATTTATCATGCAAAACATGCAAACATGGATGTCAGTGACTGCAGAATTCATTTTTCTGTCAAGAAACTCTTATTTGCTGTATATTGTCAAGTTTTCTTCTGTTTCAAGCAAGTTTTTGATTTGAATAAACAAGATTTTTTTTTTTTAATCGGTTGTCGACTAAATGATCTGAAACATTTATGGAGCACTTTTATTTCAGGCATTACTTATTCCACATGATCTACTTTGTTGTATGTTGTATGCAGATCAAAACACGCGTTTGTCTACAACGCAGCAGTTAAGTCATCATTTCACTGAGTAGCATGAAAAACACTTAAAGGCCACAAATATATAAGAAGAGTCAAACGAAAAATAGGTATTACAGCGACTGCTGAAAATGCCTTCTTCCAGACATTGATTTTGTATATTCAGGTTATCAATGGGCAACACCGAAGGCTCGAGACCAGCAGCAATTACATAAGTAGACCAAGGGAATTTTTTCTGCATACTTGTATTTACATTTACTTCAGATCAACTCCTTTGAAATGCCGATGCTGGTGGTGACTTTCAGTGTCAACAAAGCAACAACCCACCTATGTGCTCTAAATGTCAAAATGTCTTTTTTTTTTTTTTTTTTTTTTGGTTGAAGTGACTGAGCTCAGAGGAAAAACACTCCCACGACAAATGCAAAGGCAAACATCGGTGGGAAAACGCAAAGCAGTTATTTCAGGTCACCAAATACTCAAACCCATGTTACATAAACACCTATATTGTCTACTGGTAGGTAAATTCTTCCAACATGAACAAACGACCTTCATGTGTGGCCCATCAATGATATACGCTAATATACTAGCATTCCCCTTTTGGCATTTTCGCATTAGAATAAATAATGAGTTTTACTTTGTGCGCATGGTGCATTCAAGAACAGCCAACAAAAGAGGACATCATTACGATCGATGAATTAACCCGAACAACAACCGAGATTCCACCAGATGGCGCCAAAGTAATACATTTACTTTGGCCTGAGTAGCAACGAGATGAGATTTTCAACGGAATAACGGAAGTAGGTCCCCCCCACCAAATTTGTGAAAGTCTAATGGCAAATGTGCAGAGATTCACTCTAGACACAATGCTTCTAAGAACTAAAAGTTCCTGTAACGTTCAGTGGAATTGAGGTCAAAATATACCGTGTGATGGGTCTTGGCTGCTGACTCAGTCAAAGACTCAGTCGTCAAAGTCACCCACCCGCTCTTCCGCTTTGTGGTGAAGAGACTTGGAGTGGGGGTAAGGGGGTGGAGGAGGAAGATGCTGCCTGCGTCTTCCACTGTCCTCCCCTCTGCATTGTCACTTCCTCTGAGGTTGCGAAAGAGCAAGCGAGAGAGACGTTGACAAACACACCAAGTTGAAGGAGACAAGAAGAACGAAGGTAGCCATATTGGTTCCACTTCGACATGTCGGCCTAGGCGACTATATGGAAGCTCGAGAACACTTCAGCGATTCTTCATTTAGGAAGGAGACCGCTGGATGAGATTGAAGTTTAGGTTGTTTTAAGGGCACTGCCTAAAAGAAGAACTCGATTCTGAGGCCCCATCAAATTAACTTACTTGGAAGTATTCTGTGGCGAGGAGGAGGACGTAGGATGAATTGCGCCAGAGTGCCATATCGGTCAGAGGTCATGGAGTGGAGCCCGCAGCAGCTGGCCGAATACCTGAGGAAGGTCAGGTTCAATGTTTGTCATTAAAATGTCAATAAAATGCGATCACACTTGCCAAGAGAAGGGAATCACTTGACCCACGGTGCAGTTCTGTCAAACGCTAAAAAACATCCAACTGTTTTCTGTCGTACTGATCCTGATGTCAGTTGTGGGTCAGCTGGAGCATGTCAGAGATGACGTCTCGGGTGAGAGGCCCGGGCGCAGGGCACGTTAGACAAACAGGCATGAACACTCACATTCATTGACTTTGGAGTCAACCAGCTGTCCCATGTAACGTTTCCAGTTGCTCCAAAATGCCGCTAAAATAAAAGTGTATTTTTCTTCATCTTCTGGTAAAGTGTGGCTTCATGCTCGAGATTTACGACGGCAATCTCGACGCTAGTTCGGAAGTATGGAGTGTTGTCTTTTCCTGTGTTTGAAAAGAAGTACGTTTTCCTTCCTCTTTGACCCGATGATGTATCCCACCAATGTTAACGAGAGGTAATATAAAGGTGAGGAGATTTGACTTTGTGAAACGGCCCCAAATGTGTGTTGCAGATGAATCTGGCCGACTGTGATAGAACTGTGTTGAAGAACTCCATCAACGGAATGCGATTTGTGGTAAGTTTGCAAGGAGATCCACACTCCTCGACCCCATTATTATGTTTACGTTACTTCTTAATTTATCATAAAATGGCTACATACGCAACAGTTTTACACAACTTACATTGCTTGTTTGGGACAAAAAGTTATTTTGCATCCGCCGCCCATTTGTTTGATCATCTGTGCTGTGACTGTTCGTGATGCATTAACGGGCAGCTGAGAAAAACCTGCAACGACACGTTCAAAAGGAATTGAATTGTTTTAACGGCTGTCGTCGTGACAATATGTTGTTTTCTGTTTGCAGAACCTAAGTGAGAATGACCTGCAAAAATTCCCCAAACTTCACTCGCCGTAAGCTTTTTTTCATTCCCTGCTGGTGCACCGAAAAGCAACAGCATTTTCACTCAATTCTGATCCATTGGTGAAAGCGACTTTCGTGTCTGTGTCTCCGAACAGGATTATTTCCAAGCTGAGTGCCGACATTAGCAAGAAGGAGGAAAAACGATCCCTGTTTGGTAAAAAGTGGGTTCCTGTTTCGGTCAACATTTAAAATGGAAATCAAATGAGCTCTCATACGATTGAAGACACAATTTTGTGCATCTTTAACTTTTTTTCCTTTTGAACGGTCTGCTTGCTTGAAGCTAACATGCAATGCAAAACGGCAGAGACGGGGGTTCACGAAACTAGCATTGATTTGACATCATTACACGTTTTTGACCATCTACATTTGAACACAAACAGCAGCAACATGGGCAGGCGGAGCATCCAACAATACTCACGGACATATATTTTTTTATTCTCTGTAAAAAAGGACTCATGCTGTTTCAGTTTACTCATCAAATATGCACATTGTATTTATTTTACTGCCCCCTATTGGTCAAGTCATGCATACTAGAATGAGCAGCACTATGCCCAGTGAAACATCATGATGCACAAACTGTTTCAATCTTGATGAAATAATTTTATGACTGTATCGTTTTGTTTGCAAATAGGACCGTTACAAATAATGCTCATTAAATGAATGCTCCTTCTCTCCATCACAGAACTTTGACCGCTAAATTTCATGAACCAGGTAAAAACTACAGCGACCTCATGTTTTATGTAACGCGATGGGCAATGCTTCTGAGGTTTTGTCCTATTTTAGAGGTGGAATTCCCCAATTTTTAGCTGCTAATAATGTGATATCTCCCATCTTTGACAGTTCGTGATGTTAAAGGTTCGGGTGACAATTATTCTGTAAGTTGTTTTTTTTTTTTTTCACCCCCAATGACAGAGGACATGAATCGCACCAATTAACTCATATTGACTGGCCATGTTGTGTTTCAGGACGGCGACGTCAACGATTACGAGAGCCCCAATAGCGGCGGCGAGGACAGCAGCCAGAGTGACTACGAGAAACCCAAACCAGGTAAAAACTACAGCGACCTCATGTTTTATGTAACGCGATGGGCAATGCTTCTGAGGTTTTGTCCTATTTTAGAGGTGGAATTCCCCAATTTTTAGCTGCTAATAATGTGATATCTCCCATCTTTGACAGTTCGTGATGTTAAAGGTTCGGGTGACAATTATTCTGTAAGTTGTTTTTTTTTTTTTCACCCCCAATGACAGAGGACATGAATCGCACCAATTAACTCATATTGACTGGCCATGTTGTGTTTCAGGACGGCGACGTCAACGATTACGAGAGCCCCAATAGCGGCGGCGAGGACAGCAGCCAGAGTGACTACGAGAAACCCATTGACGACTTGGACGGGGTCGATGCCGAGCATTACGAACTTCCCCCTTCGGAGCCCGCGGAGGACTTGGCGCAGAAGCTGCGCAGCGCCGTGCACCTGGGAGACACAGACTACATCGGTAATATTTGACGTTTGTCGGATTCAGGACGACGCGATTCTGTTGTCGCCGCACATTATATATGGTTTCATCTGTTACCATGGCAACAAGCAGGACTGAGTTGAATCTGTCTCCTCTGTGGCCCTGCAGATAACCGGGACAAAGGCGCGTCATCTCGAGACGCACCGCCTGCCGTCCGCCCCCGCCCACCGGTGGCATCGCGCCCTGCGCTGTCGCCTCGGGTAGTGAGTCTTTAATATTTTGACTTCAATATTAAATAAATTTGATATTTCACTTTGATAGAGTGGACATGGCATATATTGATGAGTGTTTTTTTATTTTTTTGGGGGGCGGGGGTGTTTGTGCAGCCCGTTGAGAAAAGTCGAGATCACTCTCCCCACTCTTCGAGACGAGCATCCGAGAAGAGTGAGTAAAGAAAAAAAAAAAAAAAAAAAAAAAAGACATTCAAGTCATATTAGATTTTGCTTTTCTGCGATTGGTTACACTCATTATCAACATCATGTTGTGATTTTTAGCGTTTCCAGGACCGCCGCAGATCTTTCGTGGCAACAAGCCGGGCCGTAATTCCTCTCCAATTCAAGGTATACCCCAATTTAGCGAATTTCAAAGACCATCAGATTATTACCCAATCGCGCTGGAAAACTCCCAAATTTTGGGAGGTTCTTTTAGTCATTACAATGAAGCCAAAAACAAAACTAAAGTGCATTTGAGAGATGCTTTTTTTTTTCTTCTTGTTTATCTTACCAGGTTCTAATGTAACAGAGAGGGTGAGTGTTCCTATTTTTGAATGAACTTGAACTCATTCACGTTTTTTCCTATTCACAAATGTGTCCAGATAGTCATTCTTGTATTTTTCGTTGTGCGTTACAGCCAGGTATACCCTCTCGAAGGTAAGCAAGCGCGTAAACGCAAACGCTGTGTTGCTATGTTTCTTCAGAAATGTTGAAACATTTTGTCGGATTTGCCCTCGCCAGGTCCACGCCTCTTGTACCACCTCTTTCCTCCGCGGCCTCCATCGGCAGGAGCAACTCATCCGTCAAGCCTCCTCCTCCCAGGTAGGCCGCTCACTCGTCATCAGCCGTTTGTTGTCTGAGCTAATCATTGTGTGTGCTTTGCTCTTACAGGACTGACGGTATTCGGGAGGTAAATTCAATTTTGACATGCGTTTTATTTTCTCTGCATTACGAGCATCTTATGATCTTATTTTCACCTTCTAGCATGCACACAATGATGGTGAGAATTTTTTTTTTCAGTCCAACTAAGCCAGATGAATTATTAAATATTAAACCCTTGAGATTTTCTTCCAGCATCCAAACTCAACACATTACCCCTCTTCCATAAGATTCCGCCCCACCGGCCGACACCCGCGAGCCGCCATGGAGACAGGTAGAGAGTCACCAGATGCCCCCAAAGGTTCAGACTATCGCTAATAAGTGAATAAATACACTCTTTTCTTTTTGTTATTTGACAGTTTGCCTCTTGGCGCCACTTCTGTTGCGTCACTGCCTCTCAGTGTCTCTTCCGGTAATCATCTATATTTTTCAGAAGTCATAGCATATTGATAGTAATCGTGTATATCGTGTGTATTATGAATTTTTAAAAAAATAGTAATTTCACTTCAATACGTGTCGGAAAATGCCCCCCCCCCTCCCACACCTCCCTCCCGGGTGATTACTGTACCTTCCATTTGAAGTTTCAAACTGCCAAGACTTTTTCTCCAACAGCTCCTGATGTTGAAGGCTGGGATGATGACGAGTTTGTGAGTTCAATAAACACTCCGAAAAAAACACACACACACACACACACACACACACACACACACACACACACACACACACACACACACCTGAAAAATCTACACTTCCGACACTAAACAAAGAATCTGGACCTCTACCTTGAACATGGTCCCAAACGTGTCTTCAGGATGATGAAGATCCCGATTATGAGAATCCAAACAGCGGTGGCGATGAGAGCGGCAACAGCACCGATGACGACGCAGCGAACGACGACACGGACTGGGCCGACAATTACGAACCGCCTCCCACGGAGCCCTCTGAGGAGCTAACTCACAAGCTGTTGCCCGCCGTGACCTGCGGAGAAGGCGATTACATTGGTAGGATGCTGAACGTAGCTTTAACGGTCTTGAAATTGCACCATATTTTGACAAAATGGCACAATATTTGTGTTAAGGGCCTCTGCAGTGAAACATTGGGTCTTTGTGGTTCGGTATTCCCATTCAATGATTCTTGGACTTTTTTTTTTGAGCCACCATTATTCGTTGGCAAATTCTCCTTTTCGCTGCTTTTGTGCTCAGGACCAACTATTGCCTTGCTGTTATCTTTGCTGAGTTTTTTTTTTTGTTTGTTTGGTTTTTTTTTGGCAGCACCGACATCTCACGTGCCAAAGAGCTATGCTAAAGTACAGTGAGGCGTTTCAGTTAACACAAGTAATGCTTTGCTGCCATTTTGATAAAGAACTATGTTGGGGTGAGGAGTTTGAGTTAACAAAAATAGTGCTTTGTCGCCATCTTGTGGCATTTTGGTAGTAGTTCCACATTTCTTGGAGATTAATTTATTATTTTCAACATGTCCTCCAAGTGTAATTCTGAAATGTATGTGTGATTTTTTTTGTCACCCCTCCCCCCACCCTCCACCATCAGATAATATGGACAACCATGTGTCCTCCAGAGGCCCGCCGCCAGCAGTGAGTCTTCGCCCACCGGTCTCTTCACTTCCACCTCTGTCGCCCCGCTTGGTGAGACTCATACTGGTGTACCCAAACATGCAAACAAACTCCCCTACTCAAAATGTCAGCAGTCATGTTCATTCTGGCTGTATATTAAAGATTGTGAGGAATTTGACCACAGCAGGAAAGCCGGATGATTCACAGGAAATCTATGCACTTTCATTGCAGCTTGCAATTTTAACTTACTGGCAGTTTTGCATCATGCTTGATAACAACCGCCAATATCATTAATGCGATATCCATTGAATATTTTGCAGCCGGGTGAGTCGCTGTCCAATCGAGATCACTCACCGCACGGTGCAAGACAACCAGCACCAGCGGCGAAGCGTGAGTAACAACTGCTGCGACTCATCACTGCTGATCGGCATCACGAATCGTACATGAATTCATGTCGCAATGTTTTAGTGCTTCCGGGGCCACCGCAGATTTTCCGTGGAAACAAACCAGGCCGAAACACATCCCCCATTCGAGGTATTTTGGAGCCAGATACTTATTTGTCGCTCATATTGAGATTGAACATATTCGTGTATTGAACCTCATTTGTTTTTTTTTCTTATGTCTAAAGGGCCCAACACAGAAGAGAGGGTGGGTGTTTATTTTGTTTTATTCGATTAAACATAAGTGAAAATTAAAATGAAGGGGTGCCTCTCACTCAAAAATATATACTTCTTCCATGAAAAAAAAAATCCTCTTTTTCTCTGTGACAGCCGCCTGCACAACCCCGAAGGTAATGCATCCAACGCACAAAAAGTTCTGCTCATATTTGTCCAAAACAGGAAGTCAACATGACTCTGTGACAGTCGCTGTGATCATGTGACAAGGGTTCAGCCTGACTGGAATTCCTGTGGTTGGAAAGATAAAATGAGTGCCATAAACCATCATTATCAGCTGTTGTGTTTTGTTGACGAGTGCGCTTGTCTCCAGGTCTCAGGCGGATGTCCTTGCCCCCCCCGCTAGGCCCAAACCTCCCGGGCCTCCTCCTTGTTCCTCGGCCTCCGTTGGCAGGAGCAACTCCTCTGTCAGGCCTCCTCCTCCCAGCAGGTTGGCCTGACCACCTTTCGCTCATAATTAATTCACTGTTGAACGATTAATCTCATTATTTCCTGTTACAGGTTTGACGGAATGAGACAGGTAAGATTTTGATTTAAAAAAAATATATAGATGATCTGTGGACTAAAGTATTTTATCTGACGTTCACCTTCTAGCAAACACACAGCGATGGTGAGAAACCTTCATTTTCATTTAATCCAAATAATGATGATTAGATTTTCTTTTTTAAATATTAAAAGCTTTTTATTCTTTCCAGCACCCAAACACAACACATTTCCCCTCCATAAAAACCAGGCGCCGCGCCCACCACCACCTGGTCGCCATGGAGACAGGTAGAAAGTCACATACAGTAGAATTCAATGGTCTACACACCCCTGTTCGAACGCCATGTTTTTGTGTTGAAAAAGAAAAAAAAAAAGACCAAATTAAACAAACCTGTACAATTCATTTGATTAAAAATATATTTTCAAGAGCGGACACAAAAACAGAGCTGAAATGATGTGATTGCGCAAGTGTGCACACCCTCTCACAACTGGGATGGGGCAGTGTTCAGATGAACCAATCACATTCAAATTCATGTTATATGACTGTTCCTACGATTAAGCCAGAAAAAAAGCTCGGAATTTCTAGTAGGCTTTTTAGTGTGCGCGGACTTTTATTTAACACCAGTTTGAATGAGATCACGTGTGGTCAATTCTGAACACAGACACATCCTGGTTATAAAAGCGTATGCACACTTTCAGGTGTTTATTTTCACTTCCTCTCTCAAAATGAAAGAAATTCAATTGAGTCGTCGAGGCTTTAGGTCACATTAATCGTGGAAACGTTTTGGAATGATTTATCTTGGAATGCTTTTTTTCAGATCGCAAAAACCTAGCATTTGAACAGGGGTGTGTAGACTTCTTCATCCACTCAAAAATGTATACATTTGGCATGAAACAAAGTGTGGTTTTCTTTTGTGTTGTCAGTTTACCACCTGGTGCCACTTCTGTTGGCTCACTCTCTCTTAATTTTAAGCCTGGTAAGAAGTCCATTACATATGTACAAAGATTCACAAGTCACAATACGTTTCACTTTTATGCTCATTTGCTGATGCGGCCACAAGGGGGCATCCTTCTCCAAGAATGACATTTTAGCAATTTCGATGGGGGGAATCCCCAGTTTGCAATTTTTCTGATACACGCGGGTTCGAGGTGACACACGACACACTAGCTTGCTCAAAGAATCATCAGTTATAATTTTTGCAATTCTAACTTTGAACAGTATGACAAAATATCATCTTCGGGTGAATATATGTGTGTCCGTTTGTGTGTGCAGCCCATGCAGACAACAGAAGCAACTTTGCTGGTTCAGACCGCTTTCATTCGCTGCCACAAAAACCTTCACTCAAACAGGTAATGCTTGTCTTGATGTCACATTTCTCCTCTACATTACACAGTAATGGAACAATGATTTATTCAAATAATTTTTGGGAGGGATGACAATTAATTATTCAATCACAGCGAACAAGGAAACTGTGTTTGCGAATGTGTATAGGGAATGGACCCTCGCTGGTATGTTGGTAAAGTGACCAGGGGTCAAGCTGAAGGGTATTTGAAACAAGTCAGCAAGGTCACACACACACACACACACACACACACACGCGCACACACACACACACACACACACACACACACACTGCTCTCCATATAATGCATTTGTTCACTGGTATTTCCCAAACTGTACCTAAATAAAACTTAAGGTAAAATCTTATTTATTTTTTATGCTTGTGCCCATAGAAACTCATGTGTGTGTGTGTGTGTGTGTGTGTGTGTGTGTGTGTGTGTGTGTGTGTGTTTGTGTACGCGTGTAGGACGGGGCATATTTAGTGCGGGACAGCTCCCACCAGAAGTCCAACCAGCCGTACACGCTGATGGTCCTCTACCACAACAAAGTGTTCAATATCCAGATTCGCCACGAGGACAAGCAGTTCCAACTGGGAACTGGACTCAAGGCCCAGGAGGTAAACCGAATGACACACTTGAACAATATCCATGTGGTAGAATGAATTTCAGTGACTGTGTGTGTGTTTGTAGTCCTTCTCCTCAGTGTGCGACATCATCAAATATCACTCCCAGTGTCATCTGCTCCTCATTGATACCAAAAAGCGCTCCTCGGGCCAGCAGAACCAGTGTCTGCTGTCAGAGCCAGCAGGGATTTACATGACTGGACCGCAATGATCCCACTGAGACCTTTACAATAATGGAGTCAAACACTTTAGACCCATTCTGGTTTTAACAGGTTGAATTACTGTTAATGTAGGTTTTTTTTCCCTTTCTATTTGTCACTTCTTTTCATCCGAGTGTGACTTTACATACCCTCCACTTATCTAAATGCGAACATGCAATGGGAAACTCAATCGGAACACGGGGTGTTAATTAACACCTATGTGGAGGTTGTTACCTTTTCTCGGATATCTGAACACAAACGGTGCAGCAAGACATTTAGACATTCAACAGAACAGTACCCATGTTTATATATTCTTTATCCTCTACAAGGAGGTGGAGACATGTATTGTATGGATTAGGTACAGTGGGGAAAAAAGTTAGCAACACAATGGTCATTCAAATGATAAAAAGTACGACAAAATTATCACTTTTTTAAAATTCTATCTGATGGCGGTTCTACTGTATGTTTTTTGCTCAAGTAGCCTACAATAATATGGAGCGCTATGATTCCTCATTAAAATACACGTTAAAACATTTTGTGTTGGTTTTTTTTTTCGGGGGGGGTAGAACAAATTAGTGGCACTTACATTCATTTCAATGTGGAAAGATGATTTGAGATAGAAGTGATTTCAGTTCCAGGAACAGATTAAACTTGTACCTTAAGGCACCACTGTATCAAAAAAGGGATGGCACAGCTTTTAGTTTTAGAACAATTCTGTATTAGTAGTAGAGGTGGTGGTGGATATCATGTAGTCTTTTCTTACGGTGTACTAGCTACAAAGCAATTTCACTTTCTCTTATACACATATACGAGTGTGTGCGCACACACACACACACACACACACACACACACACACACACACACACACACACACACACACACACACACACCGTTGGGACCCGTATAATCCCAGTCATCAGTTACAGCTCAGCCCGTCTTGTTTTGTCTGCACCGAGTGTCGATTCGACGCTGTCGCCAACTGACGCACAGACGCACGTCATTGGTTCTTCAAGATCCCCCGAAAAAGAGTGCGAGACAGTCCCACCGGTGTCGCAGGTGTGAATATGAACTGATAAGAAGGCCAAGCGTCAATTTCGTCTGCGCGATTCCCAGTCCAACACCAGTCACGCATCAGCGCTCACAGACCATGAAGGTGTTCTCGTATCAACGTCGGTTTGTGCATTGTTTGGTTTTATTACAAATACTCATCGGTTTGGAATGATCTGCTTCAGAACATTAGTTTACATTTTACACGCAAACGTGTGTCGCATCTCCTCATACTGGTCAGCGTAAATTAAACCCGAGGCTTTTTGGTAACAGTTCACATTCCGAGAGTCTCTTTCGCGACTGATTCTTTTAGTAGATTTGGCCGGCACAACTATCTGGTGAGCGAAGGACAAGTTATAGTTAAAAAAACTATAACCTGAAACATCAAAGTGTAACTAAGATAATGGTTACATTGGGTGAATTAGTAGTCTTGACACACATTCATGGAAAAGGGTTCAAAACCTGAAATGTTCATTTAATGACCTATTAATGATGGGGGTGTGAAGTGTTTAAAAAAATAAATCTGATATTGATCAGATGAATAACGACTGAAACTGTAAAAAGAGATTCAATCAGTCATTGTCATCTGCCCCAGGGCAGGAATTCAAGCTGCTAACAACCACTAAGTGTGTGTATATGTCTGTGTGTGTGCGCGAGCGCCGCAGCAGCCAATCAGCTTGCATGTGGGCGGTGCATCCGAGTATAAGTGCAGGTGTAGCGAGCTTGTGGACAGGTGTTGCATCATGGCGTCCTTCGTGCCTCTCTGCGATCTCCCCCAGCTTCCGTCTGTGGGCGTGGATCCCTGCGACTTCAGCCTCTACAGCCCCCCACCTCCACCCGAGCCTAGCCGCTCCTCACCGGCGTGCCTCCATCCAGACCTCGGCCTCGTCTCCGGGTCCAGAGGAGTACACCACTACGGTGGGACCGCCTTCTCCAACTTCCAGGGTCCGTTCCTCCCCGGCGGGCCCTGGTACTCACCGGAGGGCATCCTACGTCTGGCCCGTCCGCCTTACTCCTACTCGGCCCTCATCGCCATGGCCATCCAGAGCGCGCCCTCGCAGCGACTGACACTGAGCCAGATCTACCAGTACGTCTCCGAACACTTCCCCTTCTACAGCCGCAATAAGGCCGGTTGGCAGAACTCCATCCGGCACAACCTGTCGCTCAACGACTGCTTCCGGAAGGTTCCGCGGGAGGAGAACAATCCTGGTGAGTTTTCTGGTTGAGGTGATGAGGATGTTGTGTCTCTCTGAATGAGGGTTATGCGAGAGTGGAGATTTTACGGTAGTTTTCAATGGCCATTCGAGATGGGGAATTTTAAGTCCATTTCATTCATGTGGGGCAACCAACTGTCTTGGTCCGGTCCGATATGGTTGAGATGGAAAGACAGAGTAGAGGGCAAAGATTAGAGACTGAAAGGATACAGGAGTGTGGTGTTGAAGGACGAGAACAATGGGCACAACAACAGCCGTAGCATCAAAAGTATCAGAGTGTGCCATGGCTCAGGTGATAGAGTGGTCGTCCTCCACCTCCAAAGGTTGCAAGTTCCATTCTGAGAGAGATATCCTGATCCCGAGCGAAGCGATCCTTATACTGTGACCATACCAAAGTGTCCTTGAGCAAGATACAGAGTGCCCAGTTGCTCCTGATCAGTGGGCAAACAAAGAAGCAGTGTGAAAACCTTGACAGAGGGATTTCTATACAAGTGAAACCATTTACCCAGTGGTGCCACGGTGACAGACAGCCACAACGATGATACAACTACAGTATATTGAAGTTTCCTATTAAAGGGCACATGGTCGATGCAAGTTTTTGCCACCCCGCTTTAACCTTGATCTTCCATCTTGCAGGTAAAGGAAACTTCTGGACTCTGGACCCAAACTGCGACAAGATGTTCGACAACGGCAACTTCTGCCGCAAGAGGAAGAGGAAAACCGACACCGTGACACCCACCAAGAAACGTCGCAACTCCTCGTCCGAGTCCAGTCCCAACTGTCCCAGCATGCATTGCGGCGCAGAGTTTTCTGCCCCTTCAGAAAACTCGTCTCAGCCCTCCGTGTACATGCAGGTCCCAGATGAGTCGTCAGTGATTCCGCCGGCCCTTCCTCCTCTTCCTCCTCAGGGTTTTGCGTACTCGCCAGGAGCGGTGGTGCCTCAGTGGGACGCCTGTAGCCCTTCTTCTCCTCCTCCTCTTCATGCCCCTGCCGTGTTCTCCCCATCTTCTCAGTCAAACCCTCCACACTTCTCCCCGCCGTCACTGTACACCGACCTGGAGACCACGTACGCTCCTCTGCTGGAGCTCCAGGAGGGGCAGCAAGCGGAGTTGGACTCCTTCCAGGCTCAACTCTTGGGGAGCCTCACGGAGGAGCTGCCCCTAACTCGCTGGTTCTCCAGCAGAGACTCTGATGTTTTTGAAATGTTCGTCACTGTGTGAATGGTTCTATTTATTATTGATTTGTTTGAAAAAGTTGTATCAATTTGCTTTTGTTTTTGAATAAAAAATAAATACATAAATGGAATCATGGGTTTTTCCGTCATTCGTTCTAGCGACTTTATAATATCAAGTTTTTAGGATTACAGAGTCCTTATTAACGTGAGGGACAGCTTTCAGTATTATGCGATGAAATGTTATACAACCACTATACAAACTGCAAAAATTATACAGTAGTCACCTGATAAAGCGTGGTTCTCACTATATCGCAGAATTTTCATTTCGACATACCATGAGACCAACAATGTCGTTGTCGAAGTCTTATTTGTATTTTTGGAGGAAACAATAAAATAAGTCAATTCTTAGAAAACACATTTGTAACACGCGTTAAAAATTACTTGGCCAATTAGGCTATGAGATCAAATTTTTAACTCTGGAAATTATCGTAATCGCCTGGAATAAGTGGGAATAGAACGGCTGCGCCATCTTAAACTGATATTTGTATCTGTGATTTATTGCTTGTTTTCCAGTTTGAGAATGTGAACTGTTTGATGCATTTTGAGTGGAGTTGAAGGAAAAAAAATGCAGGATGTATTCTTTGAGAATGTCATGTGAAAAACATTTCAAACTTCTCAGAGTTTCATCACTCTGCGACGACCGTGATTCAACCAAGTTAGCGCTTTTAAGAGACCCGAAAAGAAGCCTGACTGAATAAACTGTGAGCTGGACCCCCCCAAAAGTTTGGAACCCCATTTTCTGTCTTCACACCATCAAAGCACATTAACGTGACACCGCATGAATGTGAATGCTTGGAGTGTGACAGCACTCACCCAATGATGGGGCATGTCACGATCGTGATTGTGATAGGAGGGTAGCTGACGAGGTCCCGATAGTGCCCCGTTAATCCACGTCACACTTTCGGTGTGTCGTCGCGGGTCCCCAATGAGCGTGCGTGTGTCTCCGCGCCACGTGTTTAGGCATCACGTCGCCCATTGATGTGGATGTCTGCGTAAATAGGCGGCACACGCAGACGAGCTGATATGATCAGCCGATCAATACGGCCAAGAGACGACAAGTGTTTACAACACAATAGGGAGAGTGTGCCCTCTGTTTAGGGCCCGCATGTGCTCGCTGCGCCTTGGAGGAACCCCCGAGGTCCGCGTTACGACTCACTTCATTTTACTTTAGTGTTTTTAGTGTTTTTGTACATACATACAAAAAAAAAAAAAAATTACGAAAAGCTGAAGAAAAAAAACAGCCGCTTTGTAAAATGTTAGCTCGTGATGAAGTCCTCACGTTTTCATTTGAGATAGCAGCCGGTCAAAGGGCATGACGGAAAATCCTTACTGAGCTACCAGAGTGCTTTCTCCCATCAGGGTGCTATTTTGCAAAATGTTAGCATAGCATGTTAGCGCTCGGCCCATCTCAATAGGCTTTGAGCAATTCCCAATGAGGCACAAGATATTCCCAAAATATGATGAATCCAATAGATTGCTAGCAAACTATGCTAGATGTTAGCACTGCTCTATTTCCATTGCGCTGGGCTTTCAAGTGAAAATAGTTGTTAAGACTCCAATAAATCTGTCACCAATTTGGTTTTACAAATTAGCAAAAGGTGGCAACATCATTTAGAAATAAAGCCTAGTGCGTAATAACTTGTTAATATTAAACACACGTAAAAGACAAAAAAAGGAATACATAATACTGATATACCAGCCCAATATCTTTCACTGTATTACAGTTAGCATGAACTTTCTGAGCTAATTGACTTGATACGAAGTTACCAAACATGGTTCGTTGCCGTTTAATGGCCTCCAAACGACAGTTACAGGGATTAAACGTCTGTAAGTTTGCACATTTGAAATAAATTTGTCTTTACATTAAGAGTCATGCGTCAATGTAGCTATCATGCTAAGATCACACCACTACATTGTTTATGCATCAACACAGGTGCACATTAGTCACACGTGCACAAACACACACACACACACACACACACACACACACACACACACACACACACACACACACACACACACACACACACACACACACACACAAACACACACACACACACACACACACACACACATTTCAATTACAATTAAACCCATAAATGAACAACTCAATTGTAATGAATTTGTGTCTTGAATTGCTTCAATCTGTGAACATAAAGATCCATAATTGGGAGTCAATCATAAATGGAATCCCGATGTAAAAATGAAGGATCCCTGCAGGGCAAATGGAGCATTGCAATGTGTGTGGTCAACCTGCTAACTGCCGGGGCTGATTGCTAGCAGGCTTACATTTGCATGTCGCACACACACACACACGCACATACACACACGCATGTGAGTTGTTGAGACTTGCAGCAACCTCACACACAGAAACTACCATTAATGGGTTACTCAGAATATTTTTTCTTATTTACTTTTAAGTTTCATTTTCCTTCGGTATCAAACACCAACTTCCTTTTAAAAGGCGTCTGGAAAAAAATAACTTGGGGTCTTGATGAGACTTTTCTAATGGTAAATACTGGCCTCTGTGCTGCATTGTGGAAACTCTAAGATTGAATATAATCAAGTCTGGGGATACTCTTTGGCCTCTGGACATATTTAGAGACAATGTAGCGCCCCACCTTGGTCCTATCTATTGCAATGAAGAGGAGCTACTGCGCATGTCAGGCGTTGAACAAGATTTTAGGTAAGTATGTGTGTCAGAATGAAATCAGGCAATAGAGATGAACAGAACAATACTCATTAACGATATACTATTTTTCCTCCTCATTTAAAGTAGATATTTAAAAAAAATGTTATTTAGAATCGATATATTTTTAGTTTGGGAACATAATGTGCTGACAGCTGCCACCGGTCTCCTTTATGTCACATGGTGGCAAGCATGTTAAAAAAAAAAAATTAAAAAAAGGAAAAAAAAAGATGATTTTAGCAGGGTGTACCACAATTACTATCCTTGGGGTATTTTAACGAAATCATGTCACACACCTGCGAACAGTTTAAATGGGGGGGGGGGGGAATGCATAGCATTTCTCCCTTAAAGGTCACGCTGGAAGTAAGTGATGGAATCCTGACAGTGTGAGCGTTACTGTTGTTGGGGGATGCCACGTCGTCATGCTGGTGCGGTGACAGCTTTGAGAGCAGCGACCCCCATGTTGCCGCTTAACGTGAAACTCCATCCAACCCAACCACTAACCGAAGAGACCCCCCCTCTCCTCGTTCCCACCCCGCACGAGGCGTCTCCATGAGTCCCGTCAACCTGTAGTTTTCCACTCAGATAAGACACCTGCTCGCTGTCAAAAATCACCTGCCAAACAGTTTCGCTCAGTCCAAAAGTAGCGATGACTACGGTTAGATGAAATTATAATAGCAAAGGGACTGTTTCTTCAAGCAGTCAGATTACAAAAAATCAAGTTAGCCCACAATAACGTCCACATTTTTCTGTACTCTGATTGTTGGTTGGAGCAAAACGGCGAGAACAAGCAGCACAGAAAATGGACGGATGAGAACGAGATTGTGGAAAGAAAGCAAGCAGGCATCACACTGTGTGTTTAGATTTTTCCTGTAGGTGGCAGTGGTGTACCCTGAAGGCCAGCCACTCCAGCGGTCTATAAAATGTAAGCGTGAGAGCAGTGAAGGTCAGCCAAGAGTTAAATTGCATCCAGCCGCTGGGCTGAAAATAACCCCTAAGAAGCAGGCAATCTTGGGTAGTTCATCATGTGATGTCACAGTTGTAAGAAAAACATCAATAACAAACACTTTAAGGGGAAAAGAGATGTGGAATCCATGAAAAGGAGGCCAGTGGCGCATTAGAAAGAGATTAACGCCCGACGCAAGTTTCGCTGATCAACACGAAAGTGCGTGCAAATGTTCATCTGCAGGAGGAAGCATGAAAAAGTCTTAGTCATCCATACCCGAAAATTGAACAGGAAGGCACCGAATTGGGGGTGAAAAATCAATGAAAAAGGGGACTGGAAAGTAAGATCATGTCTCGACATGGAGTGCAACTGTTATGAAAAAGCAGCTTGGAAAGTTCGGAAAAAAAATAAACATGTAATTTGGTGGACAAGTCTATCATATAACAGGATGCATTAAAACATTTCAAGCACCGAAGGCAAAAATTGAACAGGAAGTCGTCCATTTTGGTTTGAGTCAGACATTTTTGGGGGAAAAAATTGCACGGAAAAAGGGCAAGGAAAGAAAGACAAAAATTGGGCCCCATCATCATCACCAATTCACCGAAATGGCATGAAATTTGGTGAACACCTCTATCTCAAACAAGACGTATGAAAAAGTCTCAAGTATCCAAGGCCAAAATTGAACAAGAAATCCTCCACTTTAATCTGAAGCAGGCATTTTCACCCAAACCCTTGTGCAAAAGCAATAATGACTTCCTGTGGGTTCCTCCCACCTCTCCTAACCAGCCTTGATCACAGTTCACAGGGGTGCTTTTAGAGATTTTTTTTTTTTTTTTTTGCTCCCACGGCGTGAGTGGGATCCCTGCAGCGTTCCACAGTTCCTCTACACGCAAAACCCACACAGCCAGGATCAGTTGCTTAGGAACAGCATTGTTCATCCCGTGTGGGTGCGATTACTCGTGGCCTTTTGTTCATGTCAACTTATGTGTCATGCGAACTTGTGTGTTAGCGTGTGTGCGTATGTGATGATGATGATCGCATCACAGTGCCCGAAGGGTAGATGCGCTGCCCATGGAGGACCAGGATCGATAGCAGGAGCCACGATTACGTAAATTAGAGGTTTAAACAATAGGAACAAATGACGGTCTGCATGGATTCTAGCTTTTTTTTTTGCCATTAAAAAGATACTCTCTCTTGCGGTCTTTTATGAAAATATATGTTGCTTATACACATATTTAGAAATCAGGCACATGTAAAAAAAAAAATGTAGCGATCAAAAATCGGAATGCTTGTCTCATGCAGATAAATTCACGAGTCCAGTGGTTTATCTATAAAATTTGTTGGCAAGACCACACCCTATGTTCCCTCTCCGCTCAC